ACATAACGTGTATCTCTTTAGGTATTCATTGATTTTTATTGTTATTTTTCCTCACTGTGGAAATGGGGTGAGATTACAACTTGGAATTACTAATGAATGAAAGCTTTCAAATGAAATTTCAAAACAAGAAACATCCCACGTAATAACACTGATTTTCTTCCTGATAAAGTCTATGCGTAGCATAATATTTTTACAAATGTATAGACTGCACTCTGTACCAGGCAGGTAATAGAGCAGCCTTTATGAGAGACAAGCTTGGCTAACAAAACTACAGTGTGATTATAAATCTGTTTTCTAGACTTTCCACTTGGTGGGACAATCTTCTTCTCACACAGTTCAAAGAAACCTAATTCTTTGTGATTTCTTCAATGTAACATCAGATGTCTGATGTAGATACGTTCTTATTTGTGTGTATGAAGTGATGTGGAGTTACCTAGATACTTTTATAGGCTTCTCTGTTTTCCTCTTCAATTTCCCCAACTAAATTCTATGTACTTCAAAATTTATAGAATATACTTGAATGTCTACTCATGTTTGTGATTGCCAGAGACAGGCTACTTAACTTAATGACTCAATAGTCTAAATCAGGATGGCAGATCTCATTAATAAATGAAGAAAATAATTTCATCTTGCCCTGACAGCTGTGCTTTGAAAGGATTTCATGATACTGAGAATAGAAATTAACTGACAAGACCATTTCCCATCAGTATTAATTATTTTTCTTCCAGTCTCTCCTCCACTGAGACTTTAGTTTCATCATTATGAATGCTGACATGAGAAGGAATATGGTGAATACAATGTCATGGATATACAGGTGTTGTACATATGGGGCAGCAGGGTATGTGAGTGTGATGCTGTTGTTGTCACTTTCATGTAGCAGATGTTAGACAAACAGAAGGACTCTTCAGTGCTTATAAGGCTCACGTGAAAATAGTATGTATTTGGAGACAACATAAACATGCATGGCATTATAATACTGATGGGCTTGTCTTCAGTCTTGTAAATGCAGTGTTAGCAAGCCTGATGTGCATGTTCCAGTAGTTTGCTTTTAAAATGAAATTAGTGATTTATTTAACGTTTCTTACTGTGTTCTTATTCTGTCTGTTATGTGATTAATGCACAGTGTATTTGTAGAGCATAGTCTGTTTCTTAGGATAAAATCTTCCTACCCGTTACCAAATATGTGTTCTGATATTCAATGAGACACATTATTTAAACAAGCACATTTTGTAACTTATTTGTCATACTTGCCTGCTTTTTTTATAATATAAATATTCATATCAAGCAAATCTCATTATCTTTCTGAAGCGAGCTCAAAAATATTTTTTCCTCTTCTAGGAAGGGGAAATGGTACATTAGCTAATTGCAAAGACAGTGCAGTTGCATCTTTTATAGACCAAAGTCTTATCTAGTATTAATATGTGTAGCTTATAGTATGTACATGCTGGAAAAATAGGATCTCTGTAAATTGAGCCTTGCAACTTGAATAAAATTGCTAGTAGTTAGTGCTTCCCAGCTGTAAAAACAAAATACTATAAATTGACAGTTGCATGGGAATGATTGAGTCTTCCAAATGAGCTGCACCAGTTGAGCATTTTTTATTCACTCAGATACACGCTGTGCAGGACACTTGTTTGAACATTTGATATTGTCTGTGGTGGCAGCAGAATGAGCAAGCAACATGCTGCACTGTGTGGGGAGGAGGATGCGCATGGTGGGCTTAGGAGCTTCATTAACACATGGAGAAGAAAGAGCTTGAAGAATTGGGATGAGAGGTGGAAATGAGAGGGATTTTCACACCACACCTATGTTAAATTCAATCAAGTAAACAGGCCTAGGGAGCAAGTTTTTTTGTTTTGCATTAAACAGTCAGAATTCAGTGGTTTTATTCCAGAATCTTTTATCTGACTACTTGCTGAGTAACAATGATGTGTACATTTTATTGCTGATCTGCAAAAGAGAGAAGAACTTTTAATATAAAATAATAGGTTTATGATCTGCTAACCTGTATTAGTCATACAGGCCATCTTTTGGGTGCTAATATTGATACTATTAACTATTTCTTTTAGGGAACAGTGAAGAGCACTTCTAGTTATCTGAGATGATCTGAAGCCTCTGTTGTCAAATCCTATCTCTGCTCTTTGATAACAGACCAAGATGTTGAAAATTTTGTGTATAGTGAAGTTACAATGGCTGCCTCAAGTTAATAATAAATAAATAGCAGATTGAGACTTAAGAAACAAGTTAGACAGTTTAGCTTAAGTTCTTGTCATCCCCATCCTGATTTGCTTGAGTACCTTAGAAGATGTAGACAGTGAAGACTCCTTACCCTGCTTATTTTTCCATCTAGCAGCTTAGGGCCATTATAATTCATTTAAGGCCAGAATCATTCCCTATCTTTTATCATAGCAAAGGTGATTACTGACTCCTTATCACTAAACAGCATGGAAATGTTTTGCATGGTTCCTGCTCTGTTTGAACCTGAACCTGTTGCTTAGAAAATGTGTCTATAGCTTTATGTATAGTCTCTTTTCCATTGTTAAAGATCTGTAGTTGGCAATCGTTCAGCACTTTGAACAGTTCTACAAGGATTTAAGTACACTGGAACCTTCAAAAGGCAATACATATTTACTCGCCAGCCTTCTGAATAATAAGGTATCAAAAAATAGAAATAGGTGTTTGTAGTTAACAATTCAGTATATTTTTGTCCTGAGAGCTGACCTCTCCATTAGAGTAAAAAATAAAAGAAATTTAGACTTTTGAAAACCTTACTTTTCTGGTATGAGTTTCTTTTCGTAGGTCAGTTGTTTTGGGAAATATTCATCATTACAGAATTATATCTATAATGAAACGTCACATTTTGGTAGTTACTTTTTATGTTCTGGAACTCCAGTTATATTTTCTGATTTGGACAGGAATTGTTTCCCATTTCTATAATGCTAAGCAATGGTCTACTCTGATTTTAATTTTACCTCTTTCAATAAAAAGTGGGATCTTTACAATTAGAATGTAATTCTTTGTCCATTCCTTGGCAATATCTAGATTCAAGGTAAAGTTTTTGGTCATCATGGGCAGAGTTTGCTCAAGTTACTGTACTTGATGAGTGAACTGCTGCTGGTAAATGCCCATGAAACTTGGTATAGGCCAGACTTGAAAGCTCTGAAGAAGGAAAGTGGTACTGATCTAGCAATAAGCAGGAGGATGATCTCATCTGAAGCTGAATTACTTGAGCTGTTTTGAACTATACCTTAAATTGTGAGACTTATCTAAATGTAAATTTGCAGTTTGCAGCAAGTATAGCTATACCATATAGTGTTGGTGACATTCACAGTCTTACCTTCTAGTGAGGAAGAAGTGACTGTGATTGAGCAGCCCACATTACCTTGGCCTACTGTGATCAAACCTCAATGGACCATTGCCCAGCGTCTGGCCACTCTGCGATCAGCAATGGGCGTCAGGGGCAGGGAGCTCCTGTGCTCACAAGAACCAATAGTAACCTGAAATAGCCACACTTGTATTGTTGCATGAACATCAAATACTCTCTTGTAATAACATAGACGTACCGTTTATTGACTTATTATGCTACCTTAGCTCACTGCTAGTTATGCACTTCATTTAACCTATTTTGTAATATTTAAAACTATGCATTAAACACACATTTATTATGCCCTTGGGGCCTGATCCAAAGCACTTTGTCTGTTTGAAAAAATCCAGTCTACTGCAGTGGCTTTTGGCTCAGGCCCTCTGTTTTTCTGAATAGCATTGCTTTGTTTAATTATTTATGGGCTGTAAGGGATTTTTCTTTCTTTATAAATAGCTGCATTTAAAATGAAAGCAAGGAACTGCACACAGAAAACCTGCATCTTTCTCTATATAATTATTAAATGCAGCTATTTTGTCACATGCATAGTATTGTAATGGAAGTACAATAGCACTATTTTGTAGTCAAAATGTAGATGACAGAATTCTACGTATAGAAAATATTACAAGTTTATATAGGAATCGTCATCCTTGTTTTGTGGAAAGATGTCTGCAGAAAAAAGAATGATGGCTTAGCTAAGTGAGAAACGCGATACTCTGGTGGAAATGGGACACAAATGTGTGCTTAATGGTTCTCTGCTATATCATCAGATTTTATCCTTTACCCAGCGACTGAGAATCAGGAAAGGAAATGCAGTACCTAATTGCACCTGTCATAAGTGAGTTAAAATACCAGCAGAGTAGATAGTACTACAGATTTTTGAAGTAGGATTAATTTAAAGGGAATTGCAAAGCACACTTGACATCTTGGAACCTGCAGAGTATTCTGCATATTTTGAAGTCTCTGTCAAAGGAAAAGCCTCCCTCAGTTCCTTCAGAGGCTTAAAAGACTTAATTTTTTTCTTCAAATTGCCTCTTTGCAGTACTGTCCTCCCACTCTGCCTCTTCATGTTTTGCATGTTAAAATACGCAATTTAAAATGAAAAGCATGCTTTTAACATAGCTGCAGGGAGAGGAAAAACAATAGACACAAGTTCACGGAGCCTTTGGTGCTGGTGATCTTGCAGAGCCCTGGCAGTTGACTGGGCACTTAGTCTGGTCTTAATGATAAGACCCTGCGGTAAAGAAAAAGAAACAGATTAGAGACAGTTTGCTTTTGGGAAGTGTATCAGCCTGGTAGAGGGGAATAGGACTGGCACATTGTCAGTGTTCAAAAGCTGCACTCAGAAACATCAGAATAGGAGGAAAGTAGGTGGAAAACATGCTGTGGACAGTAGTTTAAATACATTAAACACGTTACATACTATATATGCATATGCACCTCACAGCAACTTTTACTCCTGTAATAGCACTAGCTGCTGAACTCCAAACTGCTTCAGAGCATGCATTTACTGAATTCATTTAAACTAAAATTACATGGCAAAGTAGAGCACAATTCTAATATATCATAATGTTGATAATTTGGATCCATTTGGTATGTCTTTTGTTACTAAGGAAAATATACTATTTTGTCATTTCAGATGCAATTGTGTGGAACCAGAGCATCCTAGCAATAAAACCTTACGATACTGGCAGGACTACAATATATCTGCATCTGATGTGCCATGGGGGAACCTAACTGTGTCAGTAAGTGAAATACTGGGACTTAGGGAGTAAGGGTGTAAGCATGAATGATTCAATCTGTCCTTAATACAGTATATAAATAGAAAAAGTACTGTTTTTTCTGATCCTATTTGTTCAAAGTGTATAATATACTTAACTGAAAAGAGGTTAACTTAGACTTTGTAGAATTATCTTTTTTTGTACACATTTTCCTAGATTGTTATGCAGTCTTTGGTAGTACATGTTAAAGCAAGTATGCTCATTCTGTGCCCTGCTTTAGAAACTCCTTGACATGCTAGCACAAGAGTTTGACTGAGATTAAGTCTAAACATGTCAAATGATAACGGGTTTGTCCTAAATTCTGCCAGATGGCGAAACCGAAGTTCTCTTGTGTAGAAAGACTTTAGGAGTATTTACTTCCCCAAAAACATTCTTCCAGCTGTTCACGCTATGAAGGAGAGGAAGGGGAGCCATTTTGCAGTGTTCCTGTTCAGTGGCCACATTTTTCTCTTATCTAGGCCCTGAGTGTTACATATATCATTTCTATGTGAATTAGTTCCCTGAGTGGAAAGACAGGAATAAGCAAAAGACAGGTTGTTCACACAGATACATTATTTCTAAATTGTACAAATTGTACCATTTTCTATATTTAAAGGATTTACTAGTAAAGATTTTCATTCATTAAAGTAACCTTCACAATTTGATTAAAATGTCATATTGAGGTCTGGCTACCAATTTTTCTCACAAAGATAGCACTTCATTGTAAAGCCAAGGAGATGTTAGAACTATAAGTTATTTCTATCTCAAAAAACAAACAAACAAAAAACAACAAAAAAACCCAACCTTGTTGTAAGCATAATCAAATGAAGTGCTTAAAACCCAATCCAGTCAATCACCTCCAGCACTTTTTCTTTCTAAGGCAAAAATGCAGAAGAACTGCTGTCATGGTGCATGGTGCATGGAAGACTGCAGTCTTCCTATCATGAGTTAAGCAAGAGCTGCCTTCCATGACTGTTATGCTTTAATAGAAAGGGCTGCTCCTCAACTCTGTTGGTGTGGCAACAAGCGGGGAGAAATTTGAGAACTGCTGGCCTGAGGAATTCCAGCAAACCAGAATGAATATTCCCAAAACTGCAGCACACTCAAATAGCATCTGTGCAGGGGCAGACTCCTCCTCTCACTTTCTCAGATCTCTGACAGTGTTTTTCAGAGTACATTTGCAGCTGAAGAGATTTAAAATAACAGATTTTGTTTTAAATATAAATGTAAAAGACCAGCTGCATTATATAAAGCCCTTTAAAACTTCTCAAAAGCTTATTACCAAAACTTGAGTTTAAATGGGTAGCAGTGTAACTGTCCATCTTTACCCATGAATTACTACAGTTGTCAAATAAATACCCATTTTTTTTCATACTTTCTTATGTTTGCTTCTGTTGCATCCTCAGGAAACTTCAGTTCTCCTGTTGAAATGCAGTAAAAGATTAGACTTAGTTATCTTTAAAAATTTGGTCAGCCTCTCTGTGTATTCTGAAGATTAATTTTTCTTGTTTCTTTTGTCAGATTTATAAGTTCTGAGTTTCTGATTACATAAACTGGCCATGAAGGACAAATATCTTCTCTTAAAGAACATAGGAAGACCGATTATTTTTTTTTTAATTGTTTTTTTGTTTGTTTGTTTGTTTGTTTTGCTTTCTACAATCTAGGACAAACCAAGCATGAAAAGAGTTCTTATTCTAATGGTGACAAAGTACTTTTCAGTAGATGGCGTTGGTACCTCTTATACAGTGAATTTCATCCCCATGTTCTCCCAGCATCAAGTACTAGCTCAGACTTGGACAAGTTCTCTATTTGATTTTCTGATTATTTGTATATTTTTTTCCCCAGTTGACACATCTATAACCTATTTCATCAATCAAAACCACATCATGTTTATTTGAGGAGTCCTAGTATAGGTATAGTTTTATCTCAATGCTTTCAAATCTTCAAATAGGAATGATGGTTTTTTTTCAAGCCAGCCCTTTGCTCATAGACTGTTTCTCATAAAATGGCAAGCCACAGTGACCCAGTATGTTTGGAGCAAAAAGATCCTGATCTGGCCAGGATACTGCTGTCTGGAGTTGCTGGATGCTGTGTTTCTTTTTGCTTCATATGTGTGGAGGGGGTTGAGTAAGGAGAAGGAAAGAATTACAAGTCCAGAGCTTGTAGTTCCTATTTTTATAGCTGCTCTCTATTCCTTAGCTTGTCTCCTTGGAAGAAGTGTAACAACTAAGGATACTATTGGAGAATTACTAGAAATGTTTTCTACTGCATGCCTGCATGGTTGATCTTAAATTACATTCAGTAAAGTTAATACAGAGTTTGGATTTTGCGGTGTTTTGCCCGATCGCTTTTTTAAAGCAAAAGGTAATTTGTGGAATGTGCTGCCCTCATGTGGTATTAAAAGTATTGGTCTCGTTTTAAGCTAATACTATACATTCGAAGCAGCTTTTCTATCAACAGCTTGGCCTGTGGAGCTAAAACAAAAAGTCATTTCATGTGGATATATCAGGAGTAGCCTTTCTCTTTGTTTTTTTTTTTTTGTTTTGTTTTTTTTTTGTTTTTTTTTCCCCAAACTTTCAAATTGGGAAGTTTGGGGCATAAAGTAAATATATGTACATGTTCTGTTTTAAATATATCTAGTTTTATATGAATTATTTATGTTATGTCTTAGTGACTCTATTATCCAATATGGTTAAAAACTGTGATTCTTTTGAGAGTTTGAGGCTTTTCAGAGATACTTTTGAGATCAGATAGAAATACAAGTAGTCTTAATTTTAAAAGAGTGCCTAAAGAAGATTGTAATATGTCTAAATACAGTCTAGTTTACTTGCAACTTAGGAAAGGAATGGGAAAGAAATTACCAGAATAAGCATGGATATTTTTCAGAACAATACTAATTTGTTCTCTCTGATAGGAATGTAAAAAGCTTCATGGAGAATTTGTTGGACGAGCCTGTGGTCACCATGGTCCTTATGTTCCAGATGTCCTTTTCTGGTCTGTCATCTTATTTTTTTCTACAGTAACTCTGTCATCCACACTGAAGCAGTTCAAAACTAGCCGATACTTCCCAACAAAGGTGTGTCACATTGTTTAATTCAGAAGTTGTGGTTAGTTTTGTGCAAGAATTAATTGCATTTGTTTTGCAAATTCAGTTTACTGCTGGTAAAGTGGACACTATTATCTGTCCTCTGTTAAAAATTTGAACTAGAATAAATATTTTTATCTGTAAGCAAAAAATGGAACTCTGAAGAGAAATAAGTTCTAGTAGGTCCTAAACCATGTAAGTGGTGTGGTTAAAATTGTTGTTTCTCCTGATAGGTACGATCTGTTGTCAGCGATTTTGCTGTCTTTCTTACTATTTTGTCCATGGTTTTAATTGACTATGCCATTGGGATCCCATCACCAAAACTTCAAGTTCCAAACGCTTTTAAGGTAATTTGATGATAAGTTGCACAGCCTGATTATTTTGGAAAAAAAAAGTATTAGTGCACTACAGTAATTTTTTAGTAATTTTATCATGCTTTTATTGTCAGGAAGTATGTGAATTTGTTGTGCTCACTGAGTGCTAAACAACTGCTCTGAATAATGACCTGTGTAACTGACTCTTTCCAAATACACCTGAGTCTGCAATATATTATATTACATATACTTTGTCATCTTTATATTATGGGAAGTTTAGCATTTTTCTGTTGTTTCACATAGAGAGATTATTTATTCATTTTAAAGAAAATTGAATGCTAGAAACGTTTTTCTGTGTTCTCGCATGCGTAGTCCTTAGAGTTCTGACTAGCCATGCATGACTTTCTTTTTGTAGCCCACCAGAGATGATCGTGGATGGTTTATTACTCCTTTGGGGCCTAATCCTTGGTGGACAGTGATAGCTGCTGTAATTCCAGCTCTGCTTTGTACTATCCTTATTTTTATGGACCAGCAAATTACAGCTGTCATTATAAATAGAAAAGAGCATAAACTAAAGGTATTCCATCAAATACTTTTCATTGTCATTTTCAATCATGTAGCTTCATCTACTCAAGGATGCTAATTTATTTAATATAGTGCTTCTTTATATTGTTACACTTTTTTCCTGTTTGTCCATGTGGTACCTATGCCCTGTGTCTTTGATCTGTTACCTTGGAAAAGTCTTTGCTCGTATTATTTGGAGCAGAGGTTCTGAATCAAGACAGTGTTTTCTTCAATGATTTATTTGTAGTATGATATCAATTCATCTCAAGAGAAAAATCATGAAGTTAATTGTTTCCTTAATCACATTGATTGCCCCTTCAGATATTGATAGTGTTGTTCTGCAGAATGGGTTTTTGAAAGACTGGGGGCCATTCTGTAATATGGGATTTTTTTTTGTTTGCTCTTCCTCCTAAATAAAAAGAGAATAAAACTGAACTTTAGAGGCACAATGGGTTCTTCAAACATAGGGTAACTCTTTGCTCTGTTCTCTAACACTTCAGTTGCCTACAGATGGAGAGAGAAAAAGGGACATCACCCCTCTGAAAAACTGTTGGGCAAAATGTAGCAGCAGGTTTCTGTACATGTATATGCAGCAAGCTTAGGCTTTTTTTTTGACATAGTTTTAATAAGCAGGAATCCAATCCCAAGTTGCTTTAGCAAATGCATTTGCAACCTTCACTCTGCACTGCCTCTTCTTGGATGATTGTGACATTTGATATGTTCTTTTTTTGCCCTCTTTGTCAGCCTGGCTCCTCATGTCAATCCATAGCATTGCATGTGGTTAACTTGACAGATGCAGGAATTTGCTGCCAAGCTTTGGAATGTGTTTTTTCAGCACTGGCATCTGGGAGTCAGATGGTCCTCCTGGCTGCCCCCTTGTCTTGCTGCGTTTTAGTTTTGCTGGGGTCTGGTGTAGCATCACCTGTTGCTATGCTTCCTTTTCTTCCCATATGTCAGGTTCCTCAGATCATGTATGAATGTGAGGAAATGCTCTCAGATTCTGTATGCATTAGCAGATACATTCCTTATAAATGTGTCAGAAGGTAAAAAAAGGTGTCTCTCTTAGGATTTAGAATTAGACTCTTTGAGTGCGTTGTGCATGTAACTAATATCTTTGTTTGACGCAGCTCTGAGTTTAAGATATGTCTTGGAAATAAGACTTATAAGTGCTTTGAGGGAGTGAGGGAAGGTGGCTAGAGTTGCATTTTAAAAATTTTCTTTATATGAATTCCCCTTTTCAAATAATGTAAGTAAATAAGATGGCATTTTCATGTGGCTTACATTTTCATAAACCCAGACACTTCCCATTTTAGAAAAAAAAAAAAAAAAGTTGTCTTCAGAAAGAAATGACTTGTTTGCTTCCAGCTCGTTTCCCCCTCTTTTTATATACTTCCCATAGCAAATTCTGCATTTCAGTTTTTGGCAGTCGCTGTAGCAAACCTTTCCAAGTTTAGTTTAGTTACTTTTTTTATGTCAAAATGCATTTGCATGGGTTTGCAGGCAAAGTTATGGTTCAACATATTATTGTTTGCATGAATGTCGCTGCTTCATCAGACCATGACATTGAATTTGTTGCCATATTGCAGAATTTTGTGGAGATAAATCATTACCTGACTTTTTAAAGGAAAAAAACTTGCAGCTAAATAGCATTTCAGGAGCCTTATTAAATCAGAAAATATTCTTTCCAGCTATGCTAAGAAACATTCGTGTGACCAAGTTTGATGCAGTTCATCAGCAATTTTCAAATTTGCAAGAAAAGTTGGCTGTGCAAGTGGATGGTCTGCACACTAGCATCCGATGTTATTAAGAGATTTAGTTAAACTGGAAAAATACCTGTATCTTCCATTTTCTCGCTGTTATCTCATTTATAAAATTTCTGCTTATTATTGTGGCACAAAATTGTTTTGGACTCATAATACATACATTTACTGATAACAGGAATGTGACTAACAAAATTGTTTCATGTGAGCTAGCAGGAACTCAGGAGATCCCCTTAGATAACTGGTTTACCACCACTACTGCCCCAGCCTGGATACTGCTTTAGGAGAAAGTGATTTTTTGGCTATAAGTCACAGAATTTTAAATCATCTCTAGTTGTTCATTAGGAATGCCTGCCAGGAGTGCTCTCCTTAATGCAGGTGTCATTTTATATCTTTTTTTTTTCTTTTTTTTTTCCTTCTTAAACAGAAAGGGTGTGGATACCATCTTGACTTACTCATGGTGGCAGTCATGCTTGGAGTGTGTTCCATTATGGGATTGCCGTGGTTTGTTGCAGCCACTGTCCTCTCTATTTCTCATGTGAACAGCTTAAAACTGGAATCAGAGTGTTCTGCTCCAGGGGAACAGCCGAAATTTCTTGGAATCCGGGAGCAAAGAGTCACAGGGCTCATGATTTTTGTACTCATGGGCTCATCTGTCTTTTTGACAAGTATTCTGAAGGTAATTTGGGGGAAATAAGGAAATGCTAAATAATAATGCACTGCACAGAACATTTCACTGTTGTTACTATATTACTTAATGTCTTTTCCAGGCATATTACTATCATGTTTAGATTCACAATGATAATCTAAAATGGAATTCTAATTTTGCATAATGAAACAGCTTTGGACACATAACATTTGTGTAGCAGAAGCCTTGTAATAAAAGTTTGGTCTTACTGAAGTCAAAATAAATTCTACCATTGACCTGTAACGTATCAAGATTTATCTTTTCTCTGTACTTTGGGCTCAAGGCAAATATTATTATGAGCCAGCCTGGCTGAGCTATATCATTAAGTAAATGTCTTCAAATAATTTTAAAGAATGTTGTGATTACTAGCTAATTTAAAAAATATTTCCACAGTTGCAGGAGACTCTTTGTGGTTAATTACTTGGCATGAACCGAAAAATTATCTCATGCTGTCAGCATGCCCTATGCTGCTCACCAATGTCCTGAAACTGGATGTCTAGTCAAGTGCTGTAATATCAACTTTATTTTTATAATATTTTTAAGAATTTTTAGGCCACAGGGAAATCAGTAAATACTGCCATTGGCTTCAGTAAAATCAGAATTTAGACTTGCACATTGTCACAGTAAAGGGAGTAAGCCTTTAGAACTTGTGCAGTATTTTATTACATACATGTATGTAATAATTAGTGAAAGCAAACTAGACAAATTTTATGCATTAAGTATATAAAAAAGATACTTATGTACGGAAATATTTTGTAACTACACACTTCATACATGAGTGTCTGAATATTTTAAGTGCTCTTTTCCATGCCATTCCATGAAAATCATCCACCATTTTAAAATGCTTACAGTATAGAAATTTTCCATTGGCTATATATGAAATATTCTGCGTGTATCATGAACAGGTTTTTGAGGATTATAATTCTACTATTCAGATCCTCTTGAACAGTCCTTTAAGTAAAATATTTCAGTATGAATCTAACACACACATTTTTCTTGCAGTTCTGTTAATTTTATTAATAGTGAATAAAATATGTTGGCCTCAGTTCTGGCCATGGAAGGAGAATAAAACTATGGAGCCAGATTAGTCTTTTGCTTTATACTCTGAGTATCGTTATTAATTTGTAATAGAGGAATCTGAGTTTACAACCTGTCTGATTAATGCAGGCATATGGCACATTGAATTTCAACTGCTTAGCATTTAATATTTTAAAATTCTATTTAATGTGTTTCCTTTCCTTTTTTTTTTTTTTTTTTTTTTTTGGTGCAGTTTATCCCTATGCCAGTACTTTACGGAGTATTCCTTTACATGGGTGCTTCATCTCTAAAGGGAATTCAGGTAAAATGCATTCACGGAGTGTGTTCCTGACAGTGCTTTCTTTTAAATGTGGAGCTAATTTTATTCAATTATTTCATTCTTTTCCATATGATCTTAAAGGAATCTTGTCAGCCTTAAATTCTTGAAAGTGACTCACTTAAAAAGGAGAATGGATTCTCTCTAACTAGGATATTTCCTTTAGGCACTGTGCTCCATATTTTTGTTAGATGCTTATTTCACTGAATCTAAAACCTGAGTAACAAATGTTGGGTTCTCATCCCTCTCTGTCTCCCCTTTCATTTGTTTGCCTGCTGCCTTTTCAGCTTCCAGATTAGTGCCTTTGTAATTACATACTTGATCTTGAACTTTGCCTATATGAAGCTTTTGTATATGTGCCATAAAACTGAGGTGTGATTTGGAAGATCTTTCCTCTGCAAATAAATTCCCCAGCTGGTGGAACTGTTTTACTTAATTGCTGCTAAACTTATGGCTTTAGGGCTGTAGGACAGGCTTAGAGGAAGGGCAGCATTCCTACAGTGGCCTTAAGTATGAGCTCCTGGTGCAAGCCAGGCACTTCAGCAGTCAGATTGAGTATTTATGTGCCATTTCTTGTAGACTGCTGTAGCGTTAATTGGCATGGCAATAAATTGTAGCCCATCTGATTGAAACAAACCCAAAGTTTCAAGTGTACCTCAGCACATCTGCAATAGAAAATACATGAGACAAGTGTAAAAAAGGAACTTGACAAGTATGACTAATGAAATAATTACATTTTTCATAAATAATGTGATTCTTATTCTTACTGGTGTGGCTTGACCAGAGAGAGGACTGCATATCCACTGTTGGACTCGCACAGATTCATAGTTTATGATTGTAACTGTGGTAGTTTCTTTCTATGCACTTGAACTTCTGCAGTTTTTATGTTTATAATAACACGATTCTTAGGATAACCATGCTATCTTATGTAGTCTGTAAATATCAGCATGTTTTGATGCAAATTTTTAAAAATATCTCTTTCAGCTTTTTGACAGGATAAAATTATTCTGGATGCCTGCAAAGCATCAGCCAGATTTTATTTATCTGAGGCATGTTCCTCTTAGAAAAGTCCATCTCTTCACTGTAATTCAGCTGAGTTGTCTTGTACTCCTATGGATTATAAAGGTTTCAAGAGCTGCTATTGTCTTTCCCATGATGGTATGGAATATTTTTTATTTCCCCTAAAAACTCATTTTCTTCTTAATTTTGGGTCGTTGTTATTGAAGAAGAAAGTTAGTTGTGGATGGTTAATTATAATATTGCTTTGATTCAGTGTGCAAGGTCAATTTATGTTATGTAAATAAAGTTATGTATATGAACTCAAATTTGAGTCTAGGTTGCACTAAGTTTATAGCTGTGGATGGTCCTACTGTATTTCCTTAAAGAAAATTCTTTCAAATTTTAGAAATTGATATGATGCTTTTGTTTAAGGAGCAGTGCTTAACCTGTTTTACAGAAAGAACGGTTACTTAGTAAGGAAGACTGTTTATTGCATAGAGGAACTTTGTTTCTATACCTTGCTGGAAATAAGAATCTGTCCAGCTGGTTAACTGATGTTTGCTTGACTATTTCACTAATGTGAAATAAAAGAGAAGTACTGAACTTCCATCATTGTGAAATGCTTCAATTCACACTAATTCCAAATAAAGGAAGTCCAGGCGTTGACCTGTCCAGTATGAACAATAACATTCCAGCTGAAAAACTGTGGTGACTTTTGGAAGTAGAACTGTCAATTTTGTTTGTTTAATTTCCTAATTCTTTGAATAAATATCATTACAGGTCTTAGCTTTGGTGTTTGTCCGAAAACTCATGGATTTTTTTTTCACTAAACGGGAGCTCAGTTGGTTAGATGATTTGATGCCTGAGAGCAAGAAAAAGAAACTAGAAGACGCAGAGAAAGAGGTGGGTCCTGGTTTCAGGTGTGGATTCTTCTTGTTTTGGGATGGTGGTTTCATCGTTTGGATGGTTTTATTGTTTGGATGGTTTTGTTGTTTTCTGTTTGGTTGGTTAGGTTTTATTTATTTATTTATTTATTTTTTGTAATATGTTACCAATATCTCCTTTAGACAATTAGAGAAAAATTCTGTAATGAAGGCATATTCAATGCAACAAGCAGATTTGCTATATCTTGGATGAGCATTTCCCTTCTGCCACTGCAGAAACCATTTACTTCCACTTTCTAGTGAAAAAATGTCAGTGATTTTGCTTACCCTGTTAATCAAATCTTCAGATTTCTGACTTTAGTTTTCTAATCAGTTTTGCATCTGATATCATTTTCCACTAGAATGCACTTCTTGAGTTGCTTGTTTGAATATTGTGTTAAGCTGAAAGAATACAAAGTAACTTCCTGTGTGGGGGCCCTGATAGCTTTCTCCTCTGTTGCCATTATTCATATTTACCTGATTGAATGCCAACTGTTAGGGGGCATTAGGGTTGTGTTCCTAAGTCATAGGTCCAAATAAATGAAGGACAGGTCTTGATGGAAAAGCACTAACTGTAGAAGCAGTTGTAAGAATATGTCAGTGCCTTGTTCTTTTAAATGTCTGTTGTGTGTCCTGCCCTAGTATGATGTAAGGTGGTTGTGGCATGAGGAGGCAAAGGTCTAGGCTGTTCTAATGTTGTCTTGGAAGGCTGTGGTAATTTCAGTGCTCTGGGCACTTTTTTTGTACAGGAGTTGCAATTTCTAAGTTACCCTGGAGACTTTGCAAAGGCCTGGGACCCATGAGGCATAAGATTTTGGTGGTACAAGTGTACTGCAAGAACTAGATAATGTGAATGGATAAATCAGCAATTTATCCTCAGAGAAGCCATGAGGTATCTGAGACCAGTGAAAATGTATGTGTAGGGATTCCCCTTGGTAAGTCGGTTTACAGAAATAGGACATGAGCTAATAAGTTGAACTTTGTCATGAGGACTAATTTTCTCTCCCTTTTGCATTCTTTTGTGACCTTTGACAACTCACTGCCTCAGCTGTGATCTGGAGAATGTAACTTTGGTTTCTTTAATGCATGTTATGTACTTTAACAAAATTCGTTTGGGAAAAAGTTCTACCTAGGTAATACATACCACAGTTACTATTTAGTACGTGCCTGAAAAGATATTAGGATGAAGTTCAAGTGCATGGTTTGTTTTTTCCCCTTTGAACTATATAAATAATAATAATAAAAAACCCTGTTATTTCATCACAGTATTTAGCTTTCATAGCAATTCAGAGTAACCAAAAATAATTAAGATACGTCTCTTTTTTTGGGTCTGGTTACAGGAAAAATTTGTTACTCTTATATTTTGGTTATTTGTCACTTTGCTTCTCATACTTGGTAAGATGGCAGCATAAAACAAAATTGGGAAAATCTACTGGTGTTACTTTATTTCATTCACTGTCTGTTTTGAGAGGCTATTTTTACATATTTTGGCATTTCTAAATATTTGAAGCTATTATTAAAACTGTTCAACTGTCAAAAACTTATAAAGCTGTGAAGCCTGGAAATGACAAAATTAACTAGTAATAAAACTTCTGACATGTAGCCTAAGGAATTAATTGGAGAGTTGCTATCACACGGCTTTTAAAAATAGAAGTATTCTACCCACAAGAATATTCAGAAATATAGTTGACAAGATCTGAAACTTCATTGGATCCTAACTTCATCACTTAAGTTGTTTTTATATTTTTAGGCCATGTTTTTCCACGGCATTCTACATTTATAGTGGATATTTTTTTTGCCTTCTTCTCACAGATCTTCTTTGTCAGCAATTTGATGTAATCAAGTCTTTCTGAGACCAGAATGAACAAAAGTGACTTCTCCCATTTGGAGGAAAAAAAAAATCACAACTTTTAAAATAGCTGTAGTAGTAAAACATGAAGGAAACTGGAAAATCACCTCAATTCTTCTAGCTAATGCCAATTTACAAACGTGTGTGAGATTTGTCAGGTTTTGGGTGGCTGGCCAGGGAATGACATGCTTCTCTTTTTGGGAAAGCCAATGTCACTTTAAATCATGCTTTTCACTAAACACCAGGGTAAGTTGTTACCAAGCCATCTAATAAAGGGAAAAAAGAACAGGCGGTCCTTGTGTGTTGCTATGCTCACACACACACAGTGCAACAGTATAGGGCAGGATCTGATAGTTATTCCACATGAAGGCATGTTAACCTCCTGGCAGCTGTTTTGCTATGTATGAAAACATTGATTACAAGAGCCATGTGGGTTCTGGGGAAGCGTACAGAATCACCTACTTACATGGTTGCCAGTAATTTAGGCCTTAAGCCACCCTTATTTCAGAGGTTTTGCTTTATAGCTAATGTCTTGTCATGACTGCTCTGGTTTTCCTGACCTAACAGTGGTGGGGAGTCTTCAGAATCTTCCTTCAGCTCATACCTGTGGAGCCATGAGCTGTTATGGTCTGAAAGACAGGCTGTTTTTTCTTTGTCTCAGACAGGAGGGGGAGGCTGTTTTGTTCTCCCCTTCCCCCTTATATTTCCTAAAGTTGTAATTATTTGACAATAGATTTGTTGTAGATACATCTAGTTCTCATAGAATCATAAAAATTTATTTTCCCTGTTTAGGTGAAAACTAATATTGGCATCTTGTTGCACTACCTTTCATTGCATTAAAACTTCAATCAGTATTTAAACTGTGTGCACAAACTTAAATTTGACTGCCTTAATTTTCGTATGTTAATGATGCTATGCATGTGTCTAGGTTAAGTGTGATATTTAAAATTCGCCATCTCATTACAAAGTTGTCTTTATTAAAAAAGTGTCTCCTCTATTTGGTATTGATAAGTAACATTAATTGGAGATATTGCTTCGAAATAGCGGGGTGTCAATCTTGAATATTCAAATTAAGAGTTGAGAATCTTATTTTAGGAATCATTAACAAATAGTAAATATTAAGGGGTAAGATGCTTATAATTAAGTTTTCACAACAATATATCCTGTCTCACATTTAAGTTCCTTCTTCCTAGGAAGAGCAAAGTATGTTAGCGATGGAAGAGGAAGGGACTGTTCAATTGCCTCTAGAAGGACATTACAGGTAAAATATACATTTCCTCTTTTAGGTGAGTTGCAATTAAATAAAAATAAACATGCCACCATATTTATTCTTAATGTTCATTGAATGTTAGGAGAATGCACGTCTGATAGTAGAGTAAGCCCTGTGCACTGAACCATATAATGCAGTGTTTAACAAGCTGTACCCCTTTCTAGTATTTCCATAAGATATCACAGTCCTTAGGAAGAGGACTTCATTTGCCCTTGGACAAGATAGCAGGATTCGGCTATTCAGAAGCAACTTTGGCTTCTGATATATACAGTGTGAAAGGAAGGTGTAGAAAAGACAAATCCTTCACTCTCATGATTGCTAGGGAACAAGAACAGTCTTGAACATACTGGAAAAAAAGCCTAGGCTCTTTACAGTATCATGTTTTGTAACATTCTAATTAAGATCCTAGCTGTGTGAGATAGTAAGTAAATTAAGAGTTGTCTGGAGCAGATGAGGCATAATGGAATGATGGAACATTTTCGTACGAAACGTTCTGTTTTGTCAAGTGTGTTATTACTGACCAGCCCAATAAGACCTTACTCTTATTGACAGTTTTCAGAAAGTTAATAATGAAGATTGGAAATATCTGCTGATAGGAATCTCTGCATTACCACAAATTTGTAGAACACTCATGTCCCAGAATGGCCATATCTTATATTTTGATATTATCTTAGCGTATCCTAAGGCAAATAGATGTAATGTTTTACTGTCTGTGTATCTGAAAAATCCTACACTGTTTCTTATTTTTGATTAATCACATTTCTAATGTTCATTTTCTTTTCTCTACACATTTTGTTCTGTTTTATATTAGCAATATATAATTTATAGCATGTTTGCTTAGTTAAAGTTGCCTGAATAATTTGTACAGTTCTTTACTGCAAGGGCCTCAGGCCTACAGCTGAAAAGAAGGATCAATGTATTGGTTGATAAAGGGATTCCCCTAAACAATGTGAAAACAAGTTTACTGAGATCTTAGTGTCAAACCATGTATTAGCCAGAGTTGGAAATAATGTACAGACAAACTCTTCAAGGATTATTACTCTTATGTGTAAAAATACATATTCAAAGCAGCTAAGGGCTACACATTACTGATTAAAGCTACTGATTATCTTGTTTTATCAGGCCATTTTTTTTAGATCACTTAAATCTTTGACTTTTTCATGTTTTTGATAGCTTTTAAATTGTTTTCAAAGCGGCTGATGTTTCCAAACATAAGTACCTTGATAACTGTTTGGAGCTGTTAGAGTTCTTGTTAAATCCAGCTATGCCACTGGCAAACTGTGAGATCTTGGGCAAATACTTGCTTTCACAGAACAGGCTTCCTGGAGATGGTGCTGGTGGCCCATGCCTATGGGCCTATGTTCAAGGAACATCTGACAAATAATATCATAATGCACTTAAGAATATTCTTAACTTTTATTTAGCGTGAAATTAGTAGCCAATTCTGAACTATTCTATTCAGGACTATTCTGAAGTTCTAAATTTAAAAATTTTCTATTAGTTGTTAATCATATTAACATCAATAAAATATATTGTGTAACTAATTGCTGTTAGATGAGGAACATTCTAAAAATGTGCCAAGATTTGTCTTAAATTGTATTGCTTGTTTATTGTCACCACTATCAGTTTCCAAGGGCTTTTGTATAGTTAATAATTAACAAAGAATGAATGCCAATTGTTTTATTGTGTATTTACTTTTATTCTTGCCTAGAGATGATCCATCTGTGATAAACATTTCTGATGAGATGGCAAAAACTGCTGTGTGGAAGACACTGTTGATATCCTCTGAGAATGCAAAAGATAAGGAGTCAAGCTTTCCTTCTAAAAGGTTTTGATCTTTTTTTTTTTCCTACTATGTTATGCTTACAGATTCAAACCAATATTAGAACATTTTGCTAGGGATTAGAAAGACTTTTAGCATCTTGCAGTTTTAGTTCTTGAGGTTTCCTTTTGCTTCTGTCTAGTCAAATATTCTAAGGTCAAAACACTGATACACTATGTGTATTTATTAAAAAAACAAACAAACAAAAAAAAAAAAACACAAGCAAAAAAACCCCATAACACAAATATTTGCATGTAATTTAATTATGCTACAGTAGAAAATGAAGTTGAGCATGCTTAATGCTTGTGCAATGAACCACCAGCTTACACCTGGATATTGCACAACAGCTGTTGTTCTGCTTGCTTTTGTTCTCCCCTCTTGAAAAAGAAGTGGTTATCACTGCCCTGGAAATAGCTATATGAAGAGCCCAATATTTTGATGTGATCTACTAATATTGGAGTGAAAATAATTTAAAGATTGCATCACTTCTGGTAACCTTTTTCATGCCTACTTCAGTTGTACTCAAAATAGTTAAATATCTCAAAGTTTAATCCACAGAAAATGTAAAATGAACCAATGATATTTTGTCTGTGCTAGAAAAGTATAACAGGAATAAGTATAAGCACAGTACTATTGTAAATAAGATTTTCCAATTCTATAAATTTAAAATGTAACAGTATTTTCTACTTAATTGTTTTATATCACATTTCTGTCATAAGCTCCCCTTCCTAATCAATCTAGAAGCTGATTTCCCCAAAGGTAAGACCCCATCCCCCAAACTTTTCCTTGGTTGTATCTTCCAATTCAAAGTGGTGTTGTCTAGGAACCCAAGTGACTTGACTGTGTAATTTTTGGGGAGGCAGAATAAAAAGACATTTGAAATAGGAATGTGCAAATGTTTTCTTCACATCTCTTTAACATTATAAAATTTGAATTTTATTATATTAAAAGTAGAAACTGTAGATACAAGATATTTAAATGCTAAATTGAATTTTTTTCAGTATATTTGTCTTTTTTTAAAAGGCAAAGTGATATTCTGTACATTTCTAAGTCTCATATTCAAAACAAGTTCTAAGTTTGAAATATCTAGTCATTGTTTTATGGTGAAGAGATGCACTAAGGGAAAACAATTTGTACTGAAATACTGCTTTTTAATTTTGTCACCCCAAAATGGCATGCTGCCTTTCAGTGTTATTCCTTTCCCTAAACAGCATAAACAAGATGAACAGTTAACGACTGCAGAATCTTCGTTTCAAGCATCCATGGATCAGCACATTAATTTTAATACTATTTTACTGACAGACAGAATAGTGATGTAGTTCTGCTTTGTCCTCTGCCTTACATGTAGGCTAAAAACAATCCTGTCACAGTGGTATCGGTGTGGTGCACAGGAGAAGGATGTGCAATATGATTTTCTTACCTTACATGCCTCTGTTGCCCAGGCAGTGCAAGTCTGGAGAAAGAGAAGAAATTCACTGCCAGTGGGTATTCAGGAGTTGTAATTTTTCTGGTAGATGTTACTTTCTCTGATATTATGATAAATTATGTAGACATGTAATTCTTTACCTGAGATTTTTCAAAGATCCTCTGAGCAAAGAGCAATGCTGAGACTGTGGCTCAGACAACAATGGTAAAAGATGGTTTTGCTTTTACACTGCAGCAAAATAGCAGTTCATTTTCTCAAAAGCTTCTTTGGCTCAACCTAGATTTTTATTCTGTTCGTGTATCTTCATTCACAAAACTAAGGACTCAAGTGAAAAGGAACTAAGGGATCACTGTTGGGTTTTAGATACGAATGTCCTGTTGCAAATGAATTACTAGTGAAGAATCTGAAATCTTTTTTCATGTGCTCTAGTTTGTCTCAGATTCACAGATGGAAGTAGATTCTAAGAACTGTGAATTTGGAGGGCTTGCTTGTGATAACAGACAATATTGATTTTGTATTAGAGACAACTAAAAAAAGCATTAAAATCCTGAATGCACATATAATGTGCATATACACATATAGTTAAGAATAACTTTGTCCTAGGTAAGCACTGAGAAAAAAATGAAAGCTTAGGATAGGCAGCAGTCATAATTTTTGTAAATGATCAAGTACCACGCAATTCCCTTTACTGAGGGGTGTCTTACCACAGGGAGGTGAGTGGGGAAACATTATTTTGTAATTAATGGTAATTTTAGGTACTGGTATAAGATAAGTATATGTGACAGTAGGAAAAGGACTACTATGTACTTCTGTAGTTGAACTTTAAAGGCATCATTAAAATTTAATAGAGATAATTAAATTATGATAGTGTACTATGATTTCATGTAATGCCTTTTAAATTAGGGACTGATCAATTAACAACGTAGAACTATTTTCAAAATATATAAAATCTGAAAGTACTTCCCACTAATTAAATACTGAGTTGACTTGAGCAATGACAGACCAGTCCATAATAAACTACAGTGATCCCAGAGAGAGATTGCTCTTTCAAGCAACGGGGAGACAAAGGAGTATGTGATGATTCTAACATCACAGATTGACAATGGTATTACATATCTGAAGAGGTTACTTGCTTGAGATTTACTTAGCAGGCATCTAACCATGCAAGCAGCTGAGTTCTACCTTAATACCTTAATTTTTTGTCATTAAAGCGCCTAGGCATCTGAAAGTCAGCTTCTGAGTGTAGCCTGTCCTGATAGGTGCCCTGGTGCTCAATTCTATCTTCTGTCTTTGCCTATAATATTAAATCTGTCAAGCAGCAATTTCAAAACATATGGAGAAGATCTGACCATAGTTTTAGCTGTCCTAACCCACATCTGCAGGGGATGCAAATCCTAAATAAAAGGAAGGCTTTCCTGGTATTGGGGGCAGCTAAAGCCTGGAAATAGTATAGGCTTTAAAGACACAGTATATCCTCAGTGTTTGCTTTTGCTAAGCACAGGTAACTGCCAGCTGTACTGTTACATTTTAAGTTAATCCACCAAGAATTTGTTTGTGTGTCCTTTGTGTGCAGAAAGTGTGTGCATACCCAGTTTTATCACTGTTCTACAGAAGGTGACAGATCTGGCAGTTGACGTGGCAGAAGTTGGTATTTTTCAGTTATTTCCATTAACACCTCTAGAAGCAGCCATAGGCATAGAAGTAAGCTTTGGCTGAATAGAATTGTTTCCTTAAAGCAATTTTAACATGAAGGAAAACGTCAGATGATTGTAAAATTGTTCATGATCACATTAATAATTTGAGAATTGATCTTTCTTTCTTTCATGCCTTGTTTAACTCAGCCTATTTTTCATTCATTCTAGTTAAGGAATTATTCCCATGAAAACTGGTAGGTTGTGCTTGATAGAGGTTTGTTCTCAGAAACATCTGTTTAGATACCCTGCCCCTCTTTGTTGAAGGCTTGATTTGCCTGTGTTGTGGCATTTCTTCTATTTTTTCATTCTTGTAGTGACTAAAACTCACTGTAACAACTGGACTTTTTAAATTTACATATTTATGCTGTTGTAAATTAGGACCCACTTCACAAAAAAGAATATCATCTGCTTTGCACGTATATTACTTTCTGTAGGCAAATCAACAGTGTTTAATTGGGGAAAAAAAAAAAAAACTGAATCTGAATTTGAACTCTGCTTTTATGTGATCTTTTAGCTGATTAAAAAAAAAAAAAAAAAAATTAAACCACTAGGAAATACATTATTTCTTATGTGTGTATGTGAGCGAGTATATGCTAAACTGAGATCCAAGCAGGGAATATTGTCATCTCCCTGCCCCTCTGCCACTCCCATCTCCCATCAGGGAAGACTGAAAGCCAAATACTACAGCTATAAAATGGCTTGCACTGCTTTACTTCTGAAACGTTCCTTCCAAATGTATAAGCAACAGAATATGTGTTAAAGAAATACTTACTGTAACCTCTTGTTTGTGCCATTTAAGAAAATGCTGGTATTGTCTGGGAACTGTACATTATTACTATTTAACAGTTGTATTTGCCAAAAAAAAAAAAAAGTGCCTACCTGCTTGCATGCTGGCTGACTTGTTTTTCTGTACATCTTAAGTTCTCCACTCACCTCGTCACTAAACTGCTGGCTGATGTCTTCTGCACCATTCAACACAGCAGCCTTCACTTGCTTCCCAGTTTGTGTTATGCAGCATGTAAAATTAATTATAATATCAGTACAGTATTGGTTTTCAGATCTGTATATACATATATATAATATGTATGATAGTGCAACTGCAATATTTTTTTTTCCTCTTCTTTTTCTAGTGCTGAAATCAGACAAGAGAAGAAAGCTGACTCAGGGAAAGGTGTCGACCGAGAGACTTGTCTATGACCTGTTCTAAAACTTTTATTTTTTTTTTTTTAAACAAATGAATGAAAGGAGTGCCACAGCCAATAGATATAACTGATTTGATCTTGTAACTTTTGTCTTTCATCTCAAACTAGCGCAGGTAATGTAGTGCAATGTTTGTCTCATTACTCTTTGTCTAAATGTCTACATTGTCTGCTATCTGTGCAAAAGTCTGCAGTAGCCAATGCCAAAAATCTTCATTTCTTTTGCTGATATTGACCATTTATCAGTATTCATATCATAAATTTAACAAGCAGTTTCTTTCAAATTCAACTTACCTGTTAATAGGTTTGTACTGTATTTTGCTACTTTTCCTGTGTGAGAAAACTTAATCTTCACTCATGGTGAACTTGAAACAGTTGTTCCAATTTTTTTTTAAGTCATTTTACTGGAGTGATTTTAGGAGACCCATCTTGACTAGTTGAGATTAAAGTTGTTTTTAAAGTCAGAACTGATCTGACCCTGTGAACAAACTCACAAGTATAATCCTTTTCTCCTCAAATTGTCATTTTGAAGTCATGGATTACTCTTGCAATGGAGATTGCAGGGTCAGATTCTGGATTTGTGCAGTTTTTCTTGATTTATAATACAGTGTATTTAATATTCAAATTTGTATGTAACTGGAACATAGTCATATATATTATATTTATTAAAAATATCTATTATAAACATTTCATCACCTTAGTTGAAAAATACCACCACATCCTTTGATGTGAAACATTGGTACAGTATTTGTAAAAAAAAAAAAAAAAAAAAAAAATCCATGATTACAGTATCTTGTATTGTATGAATGTCACTGTGGTAGGCCAAATAACTGCATTACATCATTACTGAATTCATTATTTTTACAATAGGAAAAATTTTATAGATACAAACTATAACCCTGTGCATTTGCAACACCTGCCCAATGATTTTCCTCTTCTTTCCTAAAACACATCCACTTAAGTTGATATTTCTATTGTTTTGTCTCTACTAACAAAAGTAGAACTCTTTAATTCCAGAGATTGCATATACTTACTTAAATGGGTATCCTTCTATCAGTTTTGTTACAGCCATTTTAACTATTCCATAAAGTACATCTTGATAAAAAGATTAAAAACTGCATTGCAGAGTAAAATATGGCTTTAAAGCTCTTTGCAAACACATTTTTTCATAACCAGTTTTCTTATTGCCTGATCCTTCAGGCTGTTTTTTTTTGTGTAAAACAAGGACTGTGAGATTAGGTACTGAATTAATAGGCAACATGGAACAAAAGTTTTATGGATTATTTGCAATTTACTAATTTTTAAATTTTTTTAGGTAAATTTTTAAATGATTAAATGAAGACTAACTGTCACTACTGCTTTGAATCCTAAGAAAGAGAATTCACACTGTTGTGATTATTATAGCAACTTAGTGACAGGGCTTTAACGTTCTCTAGCTTTCCAAGACATGCTAACCTTCTCATAGCCTTCAAGTGAATAAGTTTGCATATCCAGTACATTTAAAGTATTCCTTGTAATTTTTTTTTGTGTGTGTATTTACTTTCTACTACTTCAGCCATAAACAACTGCATTTTGCTGCAAACAATTAGGGTTACTGTTCTAAGTTTTTCCTAGCATTATCAAAGCCCAATTAAAGGCTATTTTTATGGGGGAAAAACAACTAATGGACATGAAGGAGGATTTATATTTAATTAAATGTTTGTGTTTATGAATTTATGAAAAAAAAAGCCTATACATTAAGGTTAAATGCTTTGTTTTGTGTACTCGATGATAAATTGTAAGATTTGAATTGTTTTAAGGTTAGTATAGAAGTTCAAAACTGGTTTGTCCTGAAAGCAGCCTGGTGGTGTTTTAATATGTTGCTGACATTGTTACAAATAATATATACAATCAAAATGTATTAGTTTCACTTGACCAACTCTTAGAATATTAAGAAATCAGTGTATTCGATGGCATTCTGTATTTCTGTTCAGTATTCCAGAGTGTTTTATTTTTTTTTAAACAGTTACTCTATTCTTGTGTGAATTTAAATGCTATTCTGATGTTAAACTCAACATTCTGAATCACACACAATATAAAGAAAATGTAGTGCTATATTTACTTCTAATTTCATATTCTTGCTCAAAATTATTTAAATTCTTGGATGTAATTTATTACAAGAGTTTATGTGTACATGTGAATAGACTATTGTGTTTTTCACAACTAAGAAATGTTATGTGAAAATAAATATTTATCCTAACTAATTTTCAATTCTTACTTTCACACCGCAAAACTCAGAATAAGTATGCAATATTAAATGGCTGCCTAACATTTGAATATGGAGCAGGACTGTGCTGTACAATGCAGAAGCTTGGGAAGCATATTAAAGTGCAACCTCATTGAAACATGGAATACAGTCGGCATTGGTTAGCTGCATGCAGTTGTTGGTGATATACATGGTCTGACTCTAACAAACAGTACGTGCACCATCAGGGATGGCACATTACTCACCTGTCCCAGGAAGAGTGGGAATTAGATTCTGATTTATTGATCATGAGTTGCTTCTTCTTGCTTTTGGGAGAAACACTCTGGAGCAGGCAGCAGTAATTCAAACCTCCAGCCGTTCAACAGGTAAGTTCATACAATTTTAAATACTGTAGCTTTGAGGAATTTAAAGTGTCTAATAGTTGAGCACTGGCTTGGCTACTCCCTCTTGTGGGAGTGTCTGCGATTCTTACCACACGAGAATTCTGCTTCTGAAAAAATTTGTAGTCCTTGAGGTTCAGTACTACTGCAAAAACCCAAATGTTTGAAGTATTACCTCCATCTTATTAAAATGCTCTGAGTTTCAACCAAGTTTTGAATGTGAAGTGGAAGCTTTCCAGCCAGAGAAACCACTCTAACTCGCCCTTCAGGCTTCTGCTGCCTCTGAACAATAAACTGTGTAAAGTACCAATAAAGAGCATAAATTCATCCTTTTCACGTAGGAAAAAAAAAAAAAATTAACTGGCCAATAAGTCCCTAAATCTAGCAATATGGCAGATTTTTGGCCACAATTGGTTTATAGTGCTAGCTTTATACACTAACAGAAGAAACTGGCTTACCTGTGTGACATCAGTTTTAGGTGTTTTCTAGTAGTCATGCATTTTTAAGTGAAGTTGAAACCCTGTTCGTTGATTCCCTGAGGCAGCTTTATCATCTTATTAACTGCCCGTATCCTGCGTTGTTCTTGGGACTGGGGAGGATCTACTGGTGAGAAGAAGCTGATTTGATGCCCATAAGAAAACCTCAATTGAAAGAATTGCATATATGCATATAAACCTTTTAAAGTTACGTGGTGCTCCAATAGCAGTATATCCTAGAAGTTGCTTTCCAAACCAAGAATTCTAATTGATGGTAATTAGCATTGTACTTTCTTTTGCCTCACAGATAAAGTTAGAACTACATGTTCAGATTCCAGAACAATTTCCCAGTGAGACTCTAGCATCAGTAAGGTAGGTCAGATACAAAAGAACATTATCATAATGACTTATGAAGACTATATAACTTTTAGTTTCACTTAAAAAAAAAAAAAAAAAAGTACTGCTTCTCTGATCTCTAAGGAATCACTTGCAGCTCTTTAACTGCAAGTAATAACTCACAGCTACCTTTCCCCCCTCCTTCTTTGTCTACCTGTTAAGTACTTTGTATTTGCACCCGGTATCACTTATAACATAGAAATGTACCATCACTTATGGACATCGAATATCAAGAAACTAAGTGTTAGCTAATCACCTTCCAATCCCGTACACTAAACAAAAACAGAAATTTCACTGTAAGTCTCTCATGGAATTGATGTACTTTTATGACGTTCTAGGAACAAAGTTCTTAAGCAGAATTTTCAGCAATACAGAATATACAACTTTTCATAACTTAATGACCATTTATTAATTTAAGCAGCACATTTTTCAGAAAAAATGCAACCCTTTTGTACTATTTATGTGAAATGAAGAGAAAGTCATTCTTATCTTCAGCTGGAGAAGCCTACCTAGAGTGCCAAAGATAAAGCAGAAGTTTAAAGGGAGGCTACAAGGAAAAAGGCAGGTTTGCTAAATACCTTGATCATGTGAGAGCTGCAGTCCCAGTCCTTGCTTCAAGTGACAGCTAAGTTGCATTGTAGCATTTATTTTGTTAGATTGCAAGGAATATATCTTACTTATTGGAAAATAGGATTTTATTTATTAAAAAAAAAAAAAAAAAAAAAAAAAGATTTCTGTCCCATGGAGAAACAACTGTGATCTGCTAGAGTACCAGTACAGGTTTTGACAGTTGCAGCCTTTTTCCCTATGAAGTAAGTAAATATCAGAGTATAGTGATAGGAAACAAATTCAATGCCACTGGTTTAAGTATCGTTCACAATCTCTGGTAAAAGCTGGTTGAATGCTTTCCTTGCAAGATTCTGCAACTGTAATCCAAGAGTTTGCAGTTAAATAATAACTCAAGGGACTGAAGTAAACTGTTTTAATCTGCATAGAAATTATTAATGTTGCAGAATTCCTGATATATTTCTAAAATAATCACTGATCAAGCATAAGGTAATTTCAGCAAAATCTGTTCAAAATTTTATCAACATTTTCATAGAAATAATTATTTTTGGGGGGAAACATCATGATTACCATGTCAGTTTCTCTTCGATGTTATTTTCAGCATTTGTTACATCAGTAGACAAGCTGGAGGTTTGCTTTTTTTTTTTTTTTTTTTTTTTTTTAAGGATTGAAATATCAAAGCATAAGTTCCTGATTCAAGTAAGTACTGTGCTTTCTAGAAGTCTGTAGCCTACATACATACATTCTAGTGTTGTTAATGACTTGATTAAACAATCAAAAAAATGCAATGGTTGCTTGGCAACAGAAATCATTATTAAGATTAGAGCTTCATTGTATACTCAGGTATCCCAAGATCTGACTCCCTAATGTCATCTTAAAAGTTTATACTTGTTCAGTACATTTGCTAAGGAGTTTTCTGGAGAAATACCATCACTAACAAGCAAAAAGGTGTTGCCATTGCTGTGCTAGGGCAGTGAGAAACACTGCTTTATGAAGTGGCTCATATGGGTATAAATGTGTTTATGTGCTTGACCGCTGATGCCATGGTCTTTGTCAGTATACCACTGCAGGAAAGAAAATATAGAGACTGTTACCTCTAGCTACATACAAGTCATATAAATCAAACAGTAGACATAAAAGCAGACTAAAAAAATAAAAATAAAAAAATCAGCCATCTAGAATGAGGCTAATTCAGCAAAGACAATCATAGCAAGAAACTGCAGTGATTTCTGTCCCTGCTTTCTGTGTGGGATACACCAGCTATTCATGCTAGAAGTACAGAATAAGTACATTACTTGTCTGCTTGCTCTGTCCCTGGAGGTGTTCAAGGTCAGATTGGATGGGGCCCTGGGCAGCCTGGTCTAGTATTAAATGGGGAGGTTGATGGCCCTGCATGTGGCAGGGGGGTTGGAGATTCATGATTCTTGAGGTCCCTTCCAACCCTGGCCATTCTGTGATTCTGTAAGCTAGATCCAGTTTCTCTGTTAAGAATGGTGTCCCTTCTCACTAGATTGTTATCCCTGCTGAAGGAAAGACCATACAGTGGTGCGCTTGGCTTCATTTTGTATTTATCCATTGTTCCTCAAGGGCTGGGACAAATAGAAAAGGAAGCACAGCTACCTTAAGCTGAGAATTTCCATTCACAGGGCAAATAACTGCTCTGTCTTTACAAGTCTAAAAGGGATGCCAAAAGTGTATCTCAGGTAAAGAAATGGATCTAGCTTAAGTTTACTTTTCCTTATACAGAAAGTATACTACTGAGTGAACTGTTTCTAAGACTGGGACTGAGTTGGCTGATTTGAGAATACAGAACAATAAAATGGAAGATCAAATACCAGAAAAAAAACTGCATTTGTTTTTGTTCTTGTGTAGTAGATACATAGACAGTTATGTAATGATTTCAATTACTGAACATGAAATACAAATACATAAACTTATTTAAGATTGCAGTTGTTTTCTACCTAACTAGAGGGGGCTGTTGCTATCATTCTCATAATGAGTCCATTCATATGATAATGAAAAAAAAACCAAAAACACAACCATACCATTGCCTGAAAATCCACTTCAGCATCAACAAGAGCTTTGGAAATCTGAGCTGCTTGCTGAAAGTGAACATTATCTGAAAAATGAAAGAAAAAAAAAAATAGAAAAGGTAAACAAAAATTGTTTTAGTACTGCTATGGAGGGAAAAAGCAAAACAATGAACACAGACTCCCCAGCACTGCTGACTGAGACACAAAGTAGTAGCATAAAGCTGATTTATTTTATTGACGTAAATGTAACAGCCTTGCCCCTTCATGCTTTTGTTTTGTCAGTAGTAGAATTGCAAACCTGTCTGTAATACTAAAATGTCTAATTAACTGCAACTCACCATCTGCTGTTCCATGGATAAGGAGATATTCAACTTCCTTGAATTTTTCAGCTCTGGCCATTACTGTTGAACTCTGAAATTAAAGAAAAGGAAAAAAGAAAAAAAGGTGCTATTTGTTAGATGATTATTTGCTACCAACTGACTTTGATTCCTATTGACACAGTCTGGGGTTCTTCAGATAAAAAGTAACAACTCTTGCCCTCCTCCCTCAAAGTAGCATATTCACGTATCCAACAGCACTGTGCTCACACTCTAACCATTCTGCACTGGTCTGCAATTATTACCAAAGGTTATGTCTACAAAGTGACAAGCAAGTCCAGAGGGGAAGAGTTTTGCAAGTTAGATACACATTTAATGCTTTGCTAGCATGTTGTTAGCCTGCAGCACACCACTTACCATTGGTTTTCTGTGTTACTGCAGGCAAGTTACAAATGTTGCCATGGCAACAGTGCACCCTATGATAGAAAGGAGAAGATATTACAGACTACACATTATTTTCCTCACTAACATGTACACTACAGTATACCTGTAGCTAAGCCGGCAGAGCTTGCGTACGTGTACGTCATCGTTCTCAAGTAAATACGTCTCAAAAGTTTAAAACAATGACCTCCTCTGAGTATAATACATGCCTAACAGAAAAAAAAAAAAAAAAAAAAAAAAAAAAAACCTCACAAGACAAAAAGTCTATAAATAAAAAGTCAATCTGCATTTTGGGAATTACAATACAGCAATGAAAAAAAATCAGCAATTGAACTTAATCAACAAATTGAAAACACTGACACAAATGTTCACCAGAACATAACTGAATTACTATAGTGATCAGGTACTAAGGAATGAGGAAAGTAAAGACATCAGAAACTGCATTTGGGCAAGGGAAGGGAGTGGGATAGCCTTTGCCATGAGGATGGGAAGATGCAGGTGAACAATACAAGATACTGTATGCTTGATAAGACAGACACCTGATGTTATGGGGCCAAACATTTTGAATGAAATTTCCTTCTATTAGCACTATTACAGAGATTCTCTTTTAAAAATGCCAAAGTCCCTGTAGAAGTAAGTATGTGTTCTCCATATTAGAGCAACTTAAAAGCTACTGTGGCTAAAAAAATATGTAAAAGGTTCAGAAAATAAAGTGCATATCCCCCCCTTCCTCCCTCCCCAGTTTGCATGAAGGCTGCATCCATGCACAGCAATTTGCATGAGTTTACAAACAGGAAATAGGAACTTTTTCATTTCTTGGTAATATAATGCATTTGACTTTTTTTGGTGCACTAAATACAAAGTATCATTAAAGAAAGCATTGAAGAAAAGCACTGATATTAAATTTCTTCTGTCACAGCAAAATACCATACTGCAACTTCTCATTTGTAGTAATTCAATCAAATTAAAAGACTGAGTACAGTAGAAGGAAACCAACCAAACCAACAAAACACCTCTAATACAACACTGCATTTGCCATCTTTTCATAATCTAAGGCTGCAGTTTAACAGAAGCCCCATCAAATGCATAGAAGACTGTGCACATTGGAAGTGTGTCACTATCCATTGAAACACACCAGTACAGATAGCTAAGAGTGCCAGAATCCGAGGGGACATAAAGTAAGGAGCACTATTACTGTGGCCAACTAGTGTATAAAAAAAGAAAACAACACAGGCAATATCCTTTGATGAAGTACTTTCCATAGGCATGGAAAACAACTTGATAGATTTTCTTTATAAGCTTTCTCCTAGCAAATAAATTTAGTTTAAGGGACAGCAAACTTATGTGTGGAAGCCTTACTTGATCTACAATTTTAGGGATTTGACCTTCCAAAAGTGGTTTTAAGGAAAGCATGTCATTTCTTTTTGTCTTCAATCATTAAACAAAATGAAGCTGTAAAATATGTCAGAAAGAAGGTGTACACAAAAGGAAGAATTTCTTTTCTAAGTCATTTCTCTCTTGCTGTACCCAGACATAACACTGAGTGCCTTCCCTTTCCCTAAATTGTGCAGTAAATACAAAGCATTTCTGCCACCCCATCCCTTCCTTAAAAAAAAAAAAAAAAAAAAAAAATTAAAGAGATGTCACAATAGCTAACAGTATGAAGTTAGACACAGTCACAACTCAAGCCACAGCTGAAATAACTGAACAAACCTCAGGTGGACTGTATGTAAATGCAATGTAATTAATCCTTTCCATTTCATAGTTATGCTGTAATGGCAAAGGGTCTGAAAACGGGCTGTGTGCAAGTACTGAGAATTAGGCCCTGCTGAGTGTAACTGGCTTTTCTAAAGATCACACAGCAGTCAACATTTTATCAGCACTCAACAAACAACTTAAGGTTTGGCTGAAACTGAAGGTCTCTCTCTCTTTAAGCATATTCTCAGATAATAGAACAAATGTCAAATCAGTACAAGATGGCATATTTACAAAATTGTACCCTGTTTTGCATAACCTAATGATGCAGCAGTTCTTAAGGACTGAACATTTCAAATCTGCTAGAAAAAGATTGCCAAATGTATGACTGTTTCAAACACTTGCCAAAAGCATATCAAATTCAGAGTGAACTGCAAAATAATCTCACAAGTTGAACAGTCCTCTTTGATATGCTTTATGTGGCTACTACATCTGACCGGCAAAACTCCAGCATACTTTAGCCTCCAGTCCTTCACATCAGGGACATTTCTGACATCAGATGAGATTTCTGCCATCAGCACAGGACCTGTACTCACATTTTCATGCTTATAGTGGGAGCCCTACCCATGCTCATGACTGTCTTTTACAAAATGCCAACTGTTAATACCTCACAACCATTAAGTGGCACTGATCACACCTAAGTACCCTACAGAGAGGATTATGAACCATCCTTCAGCCTGGTAACTGAATGTCAGATCTCATCCATCAATAAGTGTGATATCTAATGTCACAGTAATACATAGGTAGGGTTTACCTCTCAACACCACTAGATGCAGTTTCCTGAGATGACACAATCACAGTCATTAATATCACTCTGCTTTAGGAAGGCATTTAGCAATATACACCTATTCTCAACAGGTGTGCACATATCCCCATTTCTTTTAAATTAGATCACACAGTACAGGGTTTATGCAACTTTCCACTTTCAAACCAGCTTCATGTTTTATGTGGTAGAACAGGGAATATATATAATGCAGCATGCAAACCTGACAGTATGAAGTTAACATACTTTAACAGCTTTAGCTAGGAGAGCTTTTCAGTACTTGTTTTGCTGAACAACACTATTCAGGAGTTGGCCTTCAGCTTCAGTAAGGGGCCAGGAGCAGATTTATTGGGCCTGAGCCACTGAAGGAAGGGTCTGTAAGCCAGAGAAACATACTGGGTGGAGGACGGGAAAGGTCTTCAGCAACAACATACTATGACTCTTTCATTGTAGTTATATGAAAAGCAACGAACTCACCTCTGAAGCTACACACCCTCTAAGTTTATGTGGAAAAGCAAATTTTAAGTAATAGGTTATTTGGAGCTTTCAGCAATAAATGAAGACATGTCAAATTTTCATGTATCTAGAAGGAGCAATGAAGTGCGACAATCTGATCTGTGCAATTGCCCCTCCTCCATCTAGCCACCATTCTCCCCAATTAGTCCTCAGAGTAACACATTTGAAACCTTTAGCTCTTTGGTACTGGCAGTTTCAACGTGGCTATTGCCAGCAATGAATACTATGCCAAGAAAATCCGACTCCTGGCTTGAAAGGATTAAACAGTCCTCTGTTGCCATCTGTGCCGTGAAGCTGGTGAATGACTTTGTGCACCCAGAGCGTTAACGTTCGTTCCACACAACGACTGTAACTTCTATTTACTCTGCTATCTCACAGACCTCCTACTGTTCCCATTGCCATAAAGAATTGCATTTGGAAAAAAGCAGGCAGGCTGCTGCAGGCTGCTGGTCAGCCCTGCTGGGTGCAAGCACCTCGCCTATTAGAGGCGGACACAGCAGACAATCACCCTGCAAATCACTACTGATTTCCTCAGCTCATACAGCAGTATGACAAACTGGATCACTGTTGTAGTATGTCAAAACAGACACTTCAGTCTGTATTTCAGTGTATATAATCATATGTTTTACACACTGTTAAGTCACTCTTTCTTCCCCACCTCATGATATTGAAATAGTGTAGGACTGATTGTGTACTGGGGAGGAAAAGAATCAAACCGATTCACCAAGCTAAACAGAGAGAATACCCCATCTCTTTGTCTCTAAAATTTATGTTTGGTTTCAACGTGATTATAGCTAAACATCTCCATGAAATACCGCAATAACAAAGTACTCCTCACATCACTCACTCTTCTCCAATAGTCAGTGTATTTCCACCTCGATCTGAAATTTAACAAAACCTTACAGAAAATTTGGGCAGCTGTCGTACTCTCCGCAGCTTGCAGTTTCAAAAAGCCTTTTAAGCAACAAAAAGCTGCTGGCACATTGAGGGTAGACGTTACTCCTCCATCAGAAACTTCTCTGTGCAATGAAGCAAAATCCACAGGTATTTTGTTCCCATTACATTGCCTGGAAATTTTTTAATATCTGGACAAACATCAGTTACTTTTGATCAACTTTCAGAAATCCTATATTCATAGAGAGGTCCCAAGCTGGCTCTCAGTTGGTCTGCAGTGTATTTGTATGCTCAGAGTACTCACAGACTTGCCTCCCTGTAAAGGTTTCCAAATACCTGGGAGATTTTTCTTTCCCTGAATAAAGCTTACAGCTTCCAAAGTTGGAAAGTTCACGATATCCATGCTTTTTAATTAAATTTCAGAGAGAACTGGTGTAGATTTGTTTTGATGGAAATGTTTAAGGGTTTTGTTTGTTTTTGTTGGGCTTTTTTTCAGATAATACATAGTTTGTCCATGAGCATATTAAGACAAATTTGTTTCTTTGTGATTAAAATAAAACAGTTTTACAGCTTATTTCACAGTCTGCATAGTAGCCAAATGGAACTGAATGTAAAAGAAAGAAAACCCAACAAAAATGAGTAAACCAAAGAAACAACAAAGAGCCCACGCTGTACAGCAAGGAGTAACTGCCTCATTCAAACTCAGAAGCATGAGACTACAACCTCTAAAAGTGGAATGCAATAATTAACACTGGAACGAAGAAACAAACTTAATTCTTCACACGGGGATGCAATAAACTGCATGAAGAACAGCTTAGGAAAGAAAGAACATACTTAAAAATGAAATCAAGTGATTTCTTACGTTATAGTTTCTCAGATTATCACTTTCTGTAGGAAGGCCCATGTATCGCTCCGTGTATATTGAGTCTGTAATTAAAAAAAAAAAAAACAAAAAAAAACAAATAGAATGTACTACTTAATTCCCAATATTTCTGACTGCCAGACGTTTCACACACTGATAGACACAATAAGAATAAATACTAGAAATTAAAAAGAGATGGAAGATAAAAAACAAGTTTTCCCACAATAAGCTGTGTAGGTAACCATTATTAGTCAGAGTATTTGATCTTGTTGCCATGGACACTTGAATGTTTAATATTAATAAAGTACTTTATGTCAATGCTACCTTATTGTTATTCTTTCAACTAGCCTAAGAAAATTGCTGAAATAGCTGCTAAAACAGTTCAGTAAATGATGAGCATTTTAAAAATATATATTACTTTTTTTTTTTTTTTTTTTTTTTTTTTTAAACTAAACATGTAACACTTAAAGTCTATGATATGAAATGTTGCAGAAGCTTAGGACTCTATCTTATATGTAGTCAAAGTTTAATATCTAAATTTCCACAGATTTTTGAGAATGATATCTTATTACTCTTGCAAATTTACTGCTTTATTTTAACCATACAAACCAGTGTTTGTTATGTCAACATATTTTAATGTCCACATTGCCGCACTGTACTAACATATACTGTACTGTTAACTATACGTTATTATCTGGGAGAAAGTTCTCTATAAAACCATATTTATAGCCTTGTGTGTCTCACAACCTTATAAACTATAACATGGAAGTTTGTACAGACCTGTCAATTTGTTCAGCTTTTCCTCACATCAAGCTACGTGTAAAATTAAATTTGATTGTCGTTTTGAGAGAGCAGTTTGCAATGCAAGTTTGATTTTAGGTCTCACAGTTCTCTCTTTTTTTTTAAAAAAAAGTAGCATTTTAAATACACAAAGTATACTTGATACTGGTCTCAGTACCTCAGAGCATGTGGCAGCTCAGCAATACATGTGCAGACATATTACAGTATTACTACAAATATAAAAATTTTGCATCATTAAAGGTCATAGAGATTATCTGAAATTGTGGTTGTAACTTTTTAAAATGGAAATAAGGTTTAGGCAACTGGTTTTATTCTGAAATGCAATACCCATGAGTTCATAAAAACAGACCAAATGGCATTTATATGGCATCTAGTAGATAATCAAAGTTCTGCACTATGAGTCAACACTTTGCAGCATGTGCACTGCAAGACATATGGGAATCCTTGTAACAAGGAAGCCATCACATACCATAATATTGCCAACGTGACACAGGGGCAACCGCTATTCCACACTTGAATACGCCGCTTCCAGAGCCAAGCACCATGGAGGTCACATATCCCCCATAAGACTGAGAAGAAAACATTGCTGTTATTTTAGTCGGAAAGGAAAGGATGGGGCCCATCTGCTAAGTGGTTCAGACATTTATAGGATCAGCATTTTTCATATTAATGAATTCCATTCTGAATTTGGGTCAGATCTCACTCAGCCTGCACAGTGTGGGAAACAGACATCAAACAGTGCATGGCAGCTGTGGCTCTGATGAATGAGAGTGTGCTGTGGAAAAGGGGTGCAAACGCCATTGATCTGTGACTCAGCTTAGAATGACAGTGTTTGGTAGCACTGTAGGCAGCAGCGAAAGACAGGAAACAAGACACTGCTGAACCACTGTGTCCCTCTCTGTGCTGGGGAAGTAGGTGGAAGCAGAGCTGAGGCCCGTAACATGCTTGATGAGTAGTTGTACCAGGGCACCCGAAAATTTACAGCTCCCTCAGAGCAGGCCTATGGCAGCTCACTTACTTCCTCTCCTACAAAGCGTAAGAGCAAGACTGTGACTGGGAGTGAAGGATCTTCTGCTGATTCTGTGGGAGGAACTGTGCAGCAAGACACTTCTTGCTAGGCACAGAACATTCACAGTCTAGCCCGATACACAGATGAGTAAATATCCGACACACTTGAGCATTCAGGCAGCAAGATACCTAAACAATGTCACCAACCTCCCAAACGACTGCCCTCACTGTAGTTTGGAGAGATTATTTAGGAAAGCGTGCCCACGTACATTCAAAAAGAAGAGTGATTTTTGGATCTCGTTTTTGCCTTGAGAACAGATTACAGGCAGATGGAACTGTGACTTAGTTCAAAGCTCTTAAATGTTTGCTCCAGCTTCAATACTTAAGTCTTCTCAATGAAATCAGCAACATAATGCATGTACTTACTAATTAAACCTGTGTATGAATACTTTGCATAACCTGGCAAAATGAATGCACATAGTGAGAGGCTGACAATCTGAAAACCCAAGAGAAAGAAATTCCCATGGATTTGGTATCCAGGATACATGACCCCCAGCCTAGCCCCAGGAGGACTGCTCTTCAACTATTCATCCCGAGGCTCATGAGCAGTAAAATGGGAATGCATTAAGTCCTCTGTTTCTGCAGAAAGAATTTTCCTCCTGAAAATGCTCATTACAGAAGGCTCAACTTCATACATCACAGAGGTGTTGGAAAGGTACTAAAAGCATCACTGTCATCATAACTTGCCTTCAAACAATTATTCACTGGCACTTGTCATCAGCAATGAAGAAATTTCAGCTCACAATTTAGTTCAAGATCCTGCATGCATTCCTGTATTTAATTCAACATAAAGCATGCAAAAAACACCCATTGAACACCAGAAAAACAATGAAATGGCAGCCTAGGATGGAGAAGTGTTTAAACAGAGCTTGTACCAAATAGCTACAACTAATGCTACATGCATGTATGATTTACCTTGAAGCTGAGAAGCTATATATATGCTATTAAGTGCTCCCATCCTCTGTAACAGATTTAAAAACATAGCCAAATCAGAGATATCTAGCCTGAAATAAAATAATCAAAACCAAACAGTATGTTTAGGTATTTTCGGACTGCTAGTGAAAACGCTACAAGCATACCACACAGCCTTACATTATTATTATTTTTAATCTGGAGTCATCCAATTAGTATTAAGAGATATTATTGAATATATTTGGAATTTTTCTTTAAATATTACTATCTGGGCAGCCAGGTCTAGTGGTTGGCAACCCTGCCCACGGCGAGGGGGTTGAAACTAGATGATCTTTGAGGTCCTTTTCAACCCAGGCCATTCTACGATTCTATGATCTTATGATCTAGTACACAGTAACTTGGCTGTATCTCTTTAAATAGTTTTTAATCCCTCCAGTAGTCTGAATTTTTGTTTCAAAAGCACCTAAACACAAATGGGGAATGTCTCATGCATACATGCAACTGCATGATACACTTCATCAGTTCAAGATACTGGACTGTGCTGCTACACCAGAGGTGCTTCACATTCAATACTCAAGTACATCACACCCACAGGAGGCAGTACAACAACTAGTTGTTACAACTAAGTAAGCCAGCCAAGCAAATTTGAGTACTTACCCAACCCCAAATAGCTATTCTGTCCTTATCGACAAAGCTCATTTCAGAAAACTTTCTAAAAGCAAACACAATAATTGAACACTTAATAGATTGCAGGAATCTGCCATGGTGCAGATGTGCCTAGTCTTCATCCTTTTGGCCTCTTTCTCTTCTGTGAATAAGCATTTCCCACTGCACAGTAGTGACTCCTTACGACGGCAGACCCTGAGAAGTTTGCAAAAACTCTTAAATCACATCCACTGACATCTGTATCATTTGCTGGAACTAGTTCTGATAACCAAGTTGTCCCCATCCTACCTCTCTGCCACTTTTTCAATTCCATGTGTAATTCTGAAAGAATTAACTTCCATAAGATTCTTCAATATAAACTAAGTTACAAAGATGAACTGTAACATAAACAAAGGGCACCTCAGTGCATACAAGTAAGTCTCAGTTGCAACAGAAAGCTGCAAAAAAGCTTGGAGAAAAACTTTAAACTACAAATTCATTGTTGGTGTACTTTCCTTAACTAAAGTGACAGCTACTATCCCTATAAAATCAGAAATATAGTAAATTTAGTACAGCATTAACTCTTCTCTCTTTTTGAGCATAAGATGACACAGTTGTTGACCATTTCACTGTAGCTTACCTGGCTGCTGAAATCTGATCTTCCACTTCATAGGTTCCTAGTCTTCGGTTTATTGCATGCATGATCTCATCTCCCTGGTATCCACTTCCTCTGCCATCAAAGCTGGCCACAATGATCTGCTCTGTACTGGCAAGGTACGTAGCCCAGTTAATCCGGAAGGCATGATCTACTTTCTGACTGCAGGGTCCTGCATACCTGAGTGAAAAGACCCATAGCATTCAAGCACTTACTCTCCACATTCTCTCATATAGCATTTGAAACATAATTTGCACAAGAAGGGCAAACTTTTAAACTAGACAGAACGAACAAGAAAAGCATCGCTCTGACTCTAATATGCTTTTGAAATTGGAATTTTGTTTTATTGCTTTTTACTGTAATAGGAAGCTTTCGTCTTCTAAGTGGCTTATCAGAAATCTCACTCAAAATCTTCCCTGTTTGTGTTGACGTATCCACTCATCTGAGTTTTAGTGATGACTTACCAATTTCTGTTCCATTTACTTACAATTTTTCTGTTTAAAGTCTGAAGTAAACAAATAGCCTTCATCTACAACATGAAAAAGATCTCTTCTGCATTTTTAGTGTTTCATCAGTGAATTAACTGTTACTGTCTAAGCAAGCTATTTTTTTAAGCGTGCTGTGAAAAAGGAATAAAATATTGAAAACGTAATTTTTTATTTGAAAGTATTTGGAAGCAGTTGAATTCTACAAAATCAGACTGAGTACCTGCAAGGTGCAATTATGTTCACATTTGCCTAACCACTGTCCAACAGAAGGCCCACCAAAGAGTGGTCTTGTGGCTCTCATGGTTGTATAACCTACTTTTCTCTGTTTTGAGAGCAAAGAAAGGCTATTAGGAATAGTTGATGTCTGTACACAATAGTTGTTTCTGTACACTCTGAATCCTGCCACTGCTGAAAGGTTTTCTAATATAAAGGCGTAAAGGCAACTTTGCAGCAGAGGTGACCCAGACAATGGCTCAGGTTTCAGTAAAAAAAAGAATCAAAATGAAAAGGAGTTTGTACAACACAAGAACACTGATGGCTCATTAAAGTGTTCAGTAGGCAAAAACTGTTACAGTGGTCCCAGATCATATAAAGGTATATCTAGCAGGTAATGATTATTCTCTTTGGGGGGTAATATCCTGGAAAACAAAGGAAAAGTTAACATTTCAGTAATTTCCAGTTAGAAGAAAATGCACTGCCACAAACAGAAGTGCTTGAGGAAGAGTGGATCAAACTGCACGCATTCATTAGCTGTTCAACTTTTTTTTTTTTATACCTTGTTTCTAAGAATAGGAAGAACTCCTTACCAGCAAGGGTGTATTTCTCTGGTAAAGATGTTCTTTTCTTCTGCTTGTTTTCAATAAGAAGAGAACAAAACCCATTCAAGAATAACTACCCCTACAGAATAGTTCTAAGTTAATGGTCATCCCAATTTTAAAAAACCTTTACATTATTTTCAGCAATTTCTAAGCTGAATAACAGAATCTGGTTATTTGTTCATCTGAAGACAATACAAATAATTCTCACATCTTAAATCCAGAGTATTGGGTCTCCTTTTCTGAGGAGATTAAGGTCTTTAAAAATAAATAAATAAATAAATAAGCAGCTTAAAAAAAAAAACCAAAAAAAAAACCTTAAAAAAAAACTTTCATGAAAACTATTTCTTTCAACTTTTTTTGTTAAGTGAAGGATAAGCAAACTGAGCTGAACTAAACTTTGTATGGCTGTTTACCAGCCTGATTTTTTTTTTTTTTTTTTTTTTTTTTTTTTAAACCAGACATGGCTTATCTCACTTTCTTCTCTCATCCCTTAAAATAGATAAGTGGCAAGACTGGCATTTGAACAAAATGCAGAAGGCAGATACACTGGATATTTTTGCAAAATGAGACAATGCTCCAAACAGTCAAATATCAACAGATACGTGGCTTATTCAAGGTTTCATTTTGAAATGCAGTTTTAAAATATTCCTAAAGGACTAAGAACAGAGAACATAGCAAGTTAACACTAACATCCTGGCTTTTAAATAAGATACAGAACATATCTGCTTCGCTGCTAGTCACAAAATATGCTCTTATTAAGCACAGCATCATCTTATGGCACAGAAATTTATCAGAAATTGGGATACATCCCTTATTTTCATTCTCTATTAAAACTCCTTCAAGAAGTAATTAGAAAACACATCAGTTCCACGCTTCCCAAACTTATTAAAAGGATTTGAAGTACATACAGGTGATTGATTATTAATGCAACATTCCCACATAAGTTGAAGACTTACACTTCGAGGAGCAAAGGGTACTTCTTTGATGAATCCAAATGGGGAGGCAATATCATTTGATACCAGAGGTCTAAAAGAGAAGCAAGTGATTTTGGTCAGTTCTCCGGTAAAATAACTTGACATACTTTGCAATTCATACAAGGGCACATTCGAATCACTCCCTTAAAAAGTAACTTCATCTGAACTGTAGTAACATACACAAGTAAAGGTTTCCAGTTAAGCAAACAAATACATAGAGAAAAGTTAGAAGAAAGTTTTAAACTAGAAAGCCTAAAATAATACAATCTGTGGCATTAACATGATTTCCTTTAACACTATCCTACATTATAAAGCTTACCTGTAAAACTAGACAAGTATCTGCAGAGGGTATTATACAACAAACTCAAAAATATTTCAATACTCAAGTTTCTCTCCCAACACTAAAAAAATAAATTCTAAATACTATCAACATACCATGTAGGCTTTACAGAGCAGTTTGTAAAGCATCACAGGAACATACCCAAATATCTATTATATCCTCAAGCAACATTGTTCTGGTTCTATCCATATTGCTCTTTCTAGAGAAGTTGTCAGAGAGCTAGGAGAATATTTGAAATGTACACAACATAAGTTTTGCAAACCAACTGGCTTTACCATTACTCATTAATTTTAAAAGAATGGATGCTGTAAAGTACATGTATAATTGCATGAATCAATTATAATGGACTGTACTGCAGTAATGATTAGAGTGTATTACAGTATTGCAGCAGTCTGTCCAGACAGAAAAATACAATACATTAAAACCACTGAAAAATTCTAAGCCTTAATCGAACATTTAAAAATGCATTTTTTTTCCTTTATTTTACATTGTCTATGTACTTTTGCAGTCATAGGAGTCAATTTCTTTGATAAGTACGTTGTACGTAAGTGCAAGTAATACACTGATTTGCAAGTGGACTTGGAACTTGAATTAGGACAACAGAAATGAATTTATTTATTCTATTTGTGACATTAAAAATAGAATCCCCTTACCCAGAAGTTTTTACTCTGATGAGATGAAGTAGTGAGAGCAAAGAAGAATAAAAAGATGAATACACAACTGATAGCATAAAGAATACTTTAAACCTCCATCTTTCCTGGAAGATTTCACCTTTCGCCCTATTAAAAATGTGACTAAAATAAAAGACAGAAAACACAAAGGTAAAGACTGTTATTAAACAAAGTAACAGCGGAAGTAGGGAGACATCTACAAGAACAGGTTACAGGGACTGAGAGAAATCAACACAGCATGTAAAATAAAATTTAAGAATATTCAATTTATCAAGAGGAAGCCTGTCACAAATAGAAAAGCTAGTAGCAAAGGCTTGAGCAAAAAACAGTTCAGACAGAATGGCAATGTTAGGCCTGGTACCTATCTGATGTTCCTCAGCCTAGGAACATTCCAAGGAATTGTCTGTATTTGGATGTGCAGATTCAAATAAGCACTATGAGCAAAGCATTACCAGTTAGTTTTCTAACATTCTGTTATTCAGTTTATGCGACCTTGAGCGTGAACATGCTTTTAACAATGTGACTATTCAACTGAAATATCCCCTGCAGAAGTTCAAAGGTGTTCAAAAAAAAAAAATTCAAAAGTGTTTTTTGATTTGCAAAACCTTACCATTTAGGTTAGAAAACTTTTCAGTACTAATTGTATGTCACCTCCCACCTGCTCTCTCCAACCAAAGAAATTTATGTCTGTACATTAAGACCTGCTTGAATTTAGAATTTAAGGTAACGCGCTTATGAATGTTGTGCCTGCTCCACCTCACTTTTTTCCTTTTTTTCCCTCCAAATTGGTGGTAGAGCCTACTACTATTTTTCAGGTAAAGATCAAGGAAAAATAGAGCAAATTCATATCATTATGAGAACTTAAAGACATCACATTATGGAAAAAGAGTGTTTTAGGTCAGAATGCTTGTATATTGCAGCGAATACACACACACACACACACACACACACACACACACACATATATACACATACACACATAATATATTTTTCTATATTTTCTATACTTCTAAACACCAAATAACTGCAAACATATCCTCTACACTCATCTTTTTTGTCATGCTCTTTTAACAAAGACTTTGAAGGACTTGGCAAAGTGGAGAAGAAAAGCAAAACATTTTTGAACTTACTGTATCCTCCTACAGTAATGGAGCCAAGTTTTTTTGAAGGCATTTGAATATCTTTCAATGAATTTTCCAGCTCAGTATTATTTTCCAAGTACCTGAGGACTAAATAACAGTTCATAAGTGTCGAAGCTCAAACACTATTTTCAAATCCATTACTCTCTGAATATGAATCACTTTGAAAAGTCAACCTGAGAAGATGGCCACCTACTTGGTAGTCTCAGTATACTGCAGTTTGTTTTCTCTCATAATCAATGCTTCTGGCATAGTTCTCCCTCAGTAATTTAGAAACCAGAATGCCAGTTTCCACATTTTCTAACTGCATTTTCACAAAACCCAAGCAATTGTCCGCTAAATAAGACATAGATTATTTACTGTCTTCTAGCACAGTGTAAGATAATATTAAATGAAGTATTAATAGCTGCAAGCTGAACTACTTATTTTATTCTTGTGGTTAACTATAGTAGAGAAATAAAGGATGACTTTTTAATTATTATACTAGGCAATGAGAATTAAAATAAATTTACAATGCATGTTCCCGGTTTAACAGAAATTATATTTTAAGACAATTTCATACCTTGATCATCACTACTTCTGTGCAGAGTAGCCAAGGGCAGGCCAGGACCTGTTGACAGAGCACAAAACCTTTATGTTTGCTTGCTGTCTCATAAAACAACTCTGAAAAAGTAATTGGAATTGGGTGAATCACAAAGGCTCAGAATTCGTTTTCATCCATTCTACGTATATTGTTTTCAGTTAGTGGGGCCCAAACTGAAGCTGAAGCATCATATGAATATTCAAATTAACTTGAAAAGCATGTACCTCACAGTCACATAGTTGCCTGCAAGACAAGTGGAAATCTTAGAAAGATTTTTATTTTTCCCCACCCTGTGATTCATTTATATCTAGTGCTTACAGGTCAGACTGCAGTCCCAGTGCTTAACGTATGACTATGTAATTATATACAGTGGATTCTTTAAACAGTGCTACCTATCTTAATTTTATTCCCACATAGGGCACTTCTCTTTACCTAGCTGATGACCTCTTGTTCCCAGAGCTTACAGATCACTTCTACTGATAGAGCTCCCCATGCACAGTACGTTCCCTTAGACAGCACGACTGTATGCAGTGCTCTACAGGAACAGCCCGGAAAAAAAGAAACAAGTCCTCTTTCAGGGCCTTAGCAATGATTTCCTATCTTCAAATACCTCGTAGGCAGAGAAATTTCTCTATTCTCTCTGGCCTCAAAGTAAGGTACTACCTCCTCTTTGTCACAATTGTGATGAAGGAATTTTAATCCATAAGATATGATGTTATTGTTCTTTTAACTTGCTCTAAAGAAACTGCAGTTCACTACAACTTTTAGCATATTACAAATGGCATCTAATTATGTGGGCGGCTTCTGAGGATAATCAGGTTTGCATACAGAACAGGAATGTTTGCTGCCCTTTCAGGTCCATTAGTGAATAGAACTATAATTTATAACCTTGTAATTTTATTGAAGTTCTTTTAAGCCTAGAAGGGAGTATGTTTTTCCACTGCCAATGCCAATACATAAGGCCTTTATGCAGTGCCTATGAAGATCTTGACAGGGTGAACTTCCCCACCCAACTAAACAGTGAATCATACGTATGTCAACTAATTCCAGATGTACTCACCAAGACAATTTAGCTGATAATATTGTGCATCTTTGCTGAAGGAAGCAGAATAATACTGGCATCTTTCTTGATTCAAATCACAGCTAACACACTGAGTAGATTTTGGACTGCTTTCCAAGAGCATTCTGCAAAGTAGATGAGCTTAATTTCAGAGAGGAAAGATTATTATTAAAAAAAAAAACAAAAACCAAAAAACAAAACAAAACAAAAAAAAAAACAATGGAGCAGAAGTATATTTTTTAAAATAAGATGACCAAATAAAATTTGATAAAATTCAAGAATAAAGCTCTTATTGACTTAAATAGCAAAGCAAGGAAATTTAAAATTTTTAATTTCAGTTAATACTGGAATTATCATCACAGCAAAAGTAAAAGCATGAGAGGTTTTCTTCAGGGGCAGCATGCTTCTTTCTTTATTACTAAGATTACAGAAAAATACTATAGTTTTTTGAAGTTTAATTACTATATTGATTCTAATTAAATATCCTATTAATGGAGGTATTTGAGACTATGAACAGCCTAATCTTTGACACAGAAATTTTAAGTATTACATTTTCATTAGCAGATATGTTACTCGTAGTGCAGAACAAATTTCTTACTTGTAAAGGTTCCTTCCACCTGGCATATCACCATTTTGATTACTAATATAGTACCTAGAAAAACAAAGCATACTGGTTTTGATAAAGTGCTTCCAATACAATACAATATTTAAAGAATTATCTTAAATGTTTAGATCAGATTTTTAATAAATTAAAAGGCACCCACCCCTTGTTCTCTCTCCTGGTCTGTTTAAACACTGCTAGGAGGCAATAGCTTAATTATGATACTTACAGAAAATTTTTGTTTACAGCTGCTATGCTGATTACTTCCCACTTTCCTTCAGTAATAGGTACTGGAGCCTGGAGAGGAGAAAAAGGCAAGGCAAAAAACAGAATATGAGGCTTCTTGACCACCAGCAGAAAAAAAGTCAGCAGTTATTGTCCTATAACTTACCTCTGTGCCATTTATGTAATGAATGTGTTTGTAACCTTCTGTGTCACTGAAGACTTTGTAGTAGGTAGTGTTGTCTGGGGCAAAATAAGGTACAGATGGCTGAAACTTAAACGCAAGAAAGATGTTGATTAAAGCAAACACCAAAACTCCAAAAGAAAAATGATAAATTCAGTTTTTGATATCTCTAAACAGAAGCTTCTATACTTTAAACAATATTTCACCGGGATATTTTGCCTACTGACTTAGCAGGCAAAACTTGTAGCCACTACTCTAGAAGTGAACCCACTCAAAATATCTCATTGATTCTAAAGGGGGCAGAACTTCTTGAGTGCTAGACCTCTGCTAATGACAGATGCTCTTCCTTACCTTGTTTAAATTTGAATTCCTGTAAGTGTTCTTGGTTTCCTATAATTTTACGAAATGATATATGCATCTACCTTTAAAGTAACTGCTTTATTATGCCATAGGTTATGGCTTTGGTTTGGATAATGTAAATATTGAAAGCAGTTTCTTTGAACGCCCCATTTTAAAACACACAGTTGTAAACAAATTTTTGAACTCTGAAAGAAAACAAGCTGCTTTTCTAGAGAAATTTTACTAGTAAGTAGGTCATTATGAGATGTCTCATAAAACCTAACTGGAATGCTACGTTCGTGAAGGAATATCCATGCAGTTATCAAATGGGAGTGATAGAAACAAATGGGTCCCTTCTACAGCACATACTTTGGATGCGCTCCACACGGTAGGGAAAAAAACACAGAGGAATGAGCAAATGAAGCAGAAGTTATTCCTGATCGATGTATCAAATGCATTAACATTTACCCGATAGACACAGCATGATCTGAGATATTATACCTGTTTTGTAAATGAAAACTGAAAGTTAAACTAACTTGCCCCCAGTCATTAAATAAGCAATGACAGAACTTAATCTCCCTCCCTCACATGCTCCAGGTAATTGTACCTTCTTTGCTAGTAGTATATTTGCATAAAACATCCAGATGCATTTTTCTAGCTTTTCCCTTATCAGTCTTGCTTTTTCAAAGTGTGACTTTTTGTCATCTCAACTGGCAGGTTCTATCTGAGCTCATGACCTGGATGTCTTATTGCAGTAACACAGGCTGCGAAGTTCGGAGCATTCTTATATTAAGAACAATTTCATCTCTACATTTAGAAAAAATAAAAATAAAAAAAGAAGGAAAAAAACCCTATGAACACACGCAAAAAAAGAAGTATATGTTTTATGCACATATACATGATTTTATGTAAGCTTGTACATAGAACATATGAAATATGTGTATGTACATATATAGAATCATATACATATCTTTCTTTTATATATTTAGAAATATGCCTTATCAGTCAAACATCATTTTATCATCCTTAAGTAGAAGATTAAGAGGGTATAAAGATAGCTTTCTTATCCCCTCTTCAATCATGCTTACTTTCCTCTCCCTTCTCTAATCCAAGAACCATACAGTGAAATCATATTTTCCTTCCAACAGCTTCTAAGATGTGGGTTGTCTCTTTAAAAGAAACAAAAAAACCAACAACCTAGTTTAATGGCACAGACTCGCATTTTGCCCTCTCATTTTGCACAACTGTTTACAAAGTCTGCAGCTTGATCATCACATTGTCTAATTGTGAAGCCTTTGCTGCAGAGAAGCAAAATGTGTCAGCGCTAAGGCCTTCCTTTCCATATCAAATTTGACAGCAGGTGGGTTGATCTCTCATCTTCATACTGCGGATGATTTCATCCCTGCTGTTGCCTCCCTCTTTGCATTTCTTTAAACTTTCATTTTTGACTTCAAAAGTGAATTAGTGACTAAAGCATAATCAGTGTGTGGAAAATGCGGGAGTGGAAAGTGTACTCTGTGTTCTCATAAAAACTCTGAAACTCATTTCTCCCTCCAAGTCTGAACTTTTACATCTCTGCTTCACTTCCCCCAGATCTTCTGTGTAGTTCATTAGGTGCCTACTCTCTACCATGAACAAAAGTATTGAAAGGCAGCTTGGAAAACATCATCCAAATAGTAGCAATTGGTCTGGCAGAAATGTATGCAAATTTTAATCCGATCAGTTGTAAGCATCTTGTCCTTAGTTCTCTCCAGTGGATATTCTGGGAGGGGGAAAAATATAAATTAATTAAAAAAAAACTAAAGGGTACTTGAAGTGGTTTATTCCTGGGAAAAACAAACAAACAAACAAAAAAAAAGCCAACAAGGAGAATTTGAAAGACTATAATTGACTCCTATCCTCTACATCTCCTTCATTTCAGTTTGAAGGGTATAGGACACGTTTCTTAATGTTTTATTCCCTAGATCATTCTGGAGGTGGCAAGAAGACTGGAGAGCAGCCAAACCAGCACAGCTGACAGTTCTTCCAGTACAAAGGAAATTCTGAATCCTGACACCCAGTTTCTCCTACCTACTACTACCTAAGCAATAGGTCAGAATTAAAAAGAAGCCTGGAATAAGATCTCTGCTTTTTGGCAAGCTGAAAGTGATGCACATGTCATGGAGGATGTGGGCTCCAGCCCACACTGTCATCCCAGCCTTGGGAGTTCAGAAAGCAGTATCCACATTGTTTAAAAGTGGGAGTGAGGATGTTGTGCAACTCCACATGAGATATTTTTCCTTCATATACAAAACGCAGTGAGTGAATGGAGCAGCCTTGCACACAAGAGCATTGTAACTGATAAGTGGCTCACAAGAAAATTTCTTAATTATCAGTGTCATTTAACATGTTGCAGTTTTAGAAATCACTCACTCTGCCAATCCAGCCAGTTGTACTTTCTTCCGTAAGTTGTTTTTCCTAAGAAAGAGAAAATAAACATAATTATTGTGCGATTTTGTTTTATATCAGCCTATGTTTCTACAAAGAGAAAAAATACAGAGATACTCTACTACTATCAAGTCTCATTTATCAAACATTGTGACTCTTCCATTTCAGTTTTATTACCTGTGGACATGTCCAATTTCCAGTTGCACTTTCAAAGTCACAGATGGTGAGGACTGAAAAATTCTGAATTCTTCGGAGCCACTGCAGACAGATCCTTTCATCTGTTACCCACGTTACAACGCTCAAATAATGATCCCTGAAACCAGCAGTAGCATTAGGTATTTTAAATCCCTTTCTGTAATAGTATACTATACAATAGCATTCAGCAAATTCAATGAATGAGACTAATTTGACTATTTTCATTTCAATACACTCTTTTAAGGACAACCACTGATGCACTCATCTAATTGTGGCTTTTGGTTGCTGATTATTTTTGCTACTAGAAGATTCATTGGTTATTTCATTCATACAATAAAGAATTATATAGTTTTACACACCCACTTCCAGGAAGACTGCAATTGAATCCTAGTAGCCAGCTCACCATCCTCTAATGCATGAAATACTAGCTACTCCAGACTGCCCCTACATGGTCTTTAAATGTACTGCATGCAACTAGAGGAAATTCTTAAGTTTTACGAGTCTTATATTTTGGAGTTATTTCGTTTGGTACATGAAGTTGATTGCTGCTAAGCAATTTGAATGATACACCTTTTTGTTCGATTTAGTACTTACTTCTTTAAATAGAATTGAGGGAGAGATCATACCAACAACAAATATTACTATTTGAGTATTTTACTTTCATGTTTAGAATACCAACTAGTTGACATGGAGAACTAAAGTTTCCAAAAAATAAATATTAGTTTTTCTAGAATATTCTTGTGTTCGCTTGTTGTTTTTTTTTGTTTGTTTGTTTGTTTTTTAAACAAAGTACCACATAAAATTTAATAATTTTTTTTTACCATTTTGATTTATTTCATTCCTTTTTTCCCTTAATTTAGATCTCTCCTATCGCCTAGAAGCCTTATGAACTAAAATAAAATAAACCTCCCCTCCAAGGCAAGTACACATTTTTAACTAAAATTTGCACATTTGACTTAGTTCCAAGTTCATGTTCCCTTTTTCCCTAAGTTAGTTAACAAAAATGTGTGGGAGTTTTGTCAGAGTGAGTATATATTCATAATCATAAAATGGGGGAAAAGAGGCAAGAGAAAAAGAAGGAAGGAAAGAAGGAAGGAAAGAAGGAAGGAAAGAAGGAAG